GAGGTCCCTTCAAACTCTAGACCCATCCATTGGAACTCTTCTCCCTTAAGCCTGCTGCCTTCTAATTATTGCTGCTGTGCCAGGAGTCAGCCAGGAAGCTGTGCACACAGCCATATACACAGAGGGAGGGCATTCATTGAGAGCAGACCCTGGAGAGTGTGATTTTAGACATGTTAAGAATATAAATGAAGTAAGGGACAGTTCTCCTGCACTCTGACCTGTGTGTACCACATCTGGAAAACTGAGTTTAGTTCTGGGTGCCACATTTTAGAAAGAATATTGATAAGCAGGAGGGCATTCAGAGGAGGGGCAGCTAGGTGGTGCAGTGGATATAGCTCTGGCTCTTGAGTCAGGAATGCTCATCTTCCTAAGTTCAAATCTGGTCTCAGACCAGTTGGGTCCGTTGGGAAGGTGGGTGACCCTGGGCAAGTCACAACTCTGTTTGCCTGTTTTCTCATATGGCAAATGAGCTAGAGAAGGAAATAGCAAACCACTCCAGTATCTTTGCCAAGAAAATTCCAAATGGGGTCATGAAGAGTCAGACATCACTGAAATGACTGAACAACAATAATTCAGAGGAGTGATCAGGACAGTGAGGGGCTGGGAAATCATACAATATGAGGATAAATTCAAGGAAATTGTAGGATCATAGATTTGAGATCTAGAAAGGACCTCCGAGACCGTACTCATTCTTCTCCAGGCTGTACTCTGGAACTGGTTGGTTGGATCCTTCCAGAATGTCCACTTAAGGAGGGCACCTATTGCCAACCATGTCTTATCCTGTTCCAGATTACAACCTGAATCAGAAGCAAGGTCTCCATACCTAGAGGTCTTCAAATGGAAACTGCATGATCACTTATGGAGCATGTTATAAAGGAGAATTCTGCTTAAATATGTTTGGGCCTGGACATCCTTTGAGGTTAATTTCAAAACTGAAATTCTATAGTTCCCTGCTGTCTTTGGCAGGCAGATTAGTGTAGCGGACAGAGGAGACAGCTTTAAAGTCAAGAAGAGAGCATCAAGTCAAGCCCGTGTGGCATACTAGTTGTGTCACCCCAGGTAAGTCACTAAACCTTTCAGTGTCCCAGGTGACTCCAATACCACAAGCTGAAAAAAGGTGCCAATTTACCTTGCCAGAGGGAGTTTCTTCCCCAGGAGTCCTGTAAACCAATCAAGTCACAGGTCCAGACCCAAGGACTTTGGTAAGTGGAAGTAGAGTCAATTATCTGTGTGACCTTGGATAATGGTTTAACCCCCTTGGTCCTCAGTTTCTACCTCTGTGAAGTGGGAGGAATCTCAGGAATTATGAGAAACAGGAAGTACCTGCTTCTTCCCCCAAACCCACCCAAGCTCCTAACCTGTGCGGATGTTAGCCTGGCTGAGAAGCAGAGGCAGACTTTGCACCTTGTCAAAGGAGTTGAAATGATGGTCATTCTGGTGTAAGCCATACATTCCATTCTGATGCTGTAAGGAAAGCTACTATGAGCCTGAGGGGGCCAGGACTCTTAACCAAGCTGTCTCCATCACTCAGATCAACTATAGCATCCCTCTTCCTAGTTCCCCTGCTTGAATTAGAACTTAGCTTGCCAGTGCATATTAAAGTTCTGTGTTTGTACCTCTCCTTCCTCCCCCTCCCATCCCCCATCTCATTTGTCCTGGTCCAAAAGACTTTCATCAGCATGGAAGCAATATATTAACAAACCTCTTTAACCCAGCCTCCCCAGATGGCAATGACCAAGACACAAAACTCTTTTGTATGGCTAACTTAAATGTGGAATCTGACAGTTTTCTGTTCAAAATTATAAAGAATTACAATGAAGACTTACAATGAAGCAGTTCTGGTGAAGGATAGATATGGGAAGACGAAAGGGTCAGGGAAATTCCTAGAGAAGTTAGCAAGGCATGGGCTTGTTGGGACAGACTATATTATTAGTACTTTTTTGATGAAAGTGGGGAGCCAATGGCCAAGATACTACCTATATGCCTAGAATCCCAAGAGTTTACCCTGCTCAAAAGATTCTCCTATCTTCTTCCTTCTATTGTTCTCTTTTTAACCACCCCATTCTTCTTCTGCCCTAGCATGGGCATCTGCTTACCTGTGGCAAGCCAGTCAGCAGGCTAGCACGACTAGGGGAGCAGCTGCTGACTGAGGTGAAGGCATTATGGAAGATCAGGCTCCTTTGTGCCAAGGCATCCAGGTGTGGGGTTGAGATTGCACTGTTGTTGTATGTACCACTTTCAAAGCCTCCATCATCCGCTGCCAACGGGAGGAGAAATAGGGAAGGCACCGTGAGCTGAGGGATGTGAGAGGAATAAAGCTGAGGATTCACTACGGAGCTCAAGGATGCTAGCATTTGGTATTCTACTGAATTGTAAATGCCTAGGCAGATTTGGTGGGGGAATTCTGAATAAAGCTGGGACTGGGGCTCTGATGTGCAGTGTAGGGCAGTATAGGAGAAACTCACATTCAGGGAATGGGGAGATTCTGTGCAATGCAGTGTCTCTGAATGGAGGAGCCAGAGCTCAAATGAGTACTCCCAGAGCCTGGCCCATCCAGTGGACAGCATATTAGTCTAGGAATCAAGAAAATATGTGTTCTAATCCCACTTTGGTCACTTAATTAGCTGTTTTAGTTTTGGCAAGCCATTTAATCTCCCTCAGCCTTGATTTCCTCATCTATAAAACAGGATTAATACCTACAGTATTTATCTCACAGAGCTGTTGTAAGGCTCAAATGAGATAATGTATATAAAACACATTGCAAACTTTAAAATGATACACAAATGCCAGCTATAATAATTGTAATGATTTCACTAAATATTTTGATTATTAATTATAAATATTTAATTTATTATTATTAATTTTTTATGGGGACCTGGCCTTACTGCTAAGTCTTGATCCCATTGGCCATCAGGTCTCAGTCCCTTTGTTATCTGCACACCTACTTTATGAGTCCCAGTACTGCTATTTACTACTGGCTGGGATTCTTTGAGCAAGACACAATTTTTTTAAATCTTAGGTTTCCTCAACTACAAAGTGGAGGTGATTCTTGCACTCCCTATGTCAGAGAAGTACTGTAAGGAAAGTTCTTTGTAAACCTTAAAGGGTTAAATAAATATGAGTTATTGTCATATTTACCCTGGTGGGGCAGCTGAAACTAAGGGGGGCGGGAATGGTATGCTGTAAGCAGAAATGTCTACTCTAGGTCTTTTGGAAGAATGGCTATGAGTTTTTCTCTACAGCTGGCCTTCCTACCCAAGGTGAAAATGAGGGAGGAGGGAACAGCTTAAAGCCATCTTTACATAAGCTTCTTGTCTATCCCAATTTGTGACAGTGTAACTGATGGTTTATGTCCTTCACTCCCCCCAGGTTCTGAGAAGCAGGCGACTATGACAGAGATTTGGGACATAGATGCCATAGTGTTTCACAAGAGTCATCCTTGAAAAGACCTACTTGTCTATGGAGGTGGGGTATGGGGGACTGAAGAACTGTTTGTTTTGCAATGAACTGAAAGTCTGCCTGGAGGCTTGGAATATGTATTTGTAACACTGATTTAACAGTACAGATGAGGACTGGCAAGGGGCCAGGCTCAGAAATAAGCTGTTTTGTGGTTTCATCTATCACAAGGACAGAGCCCTGACCACCAAAACAGGAAGTCCCTGAAAAATACAGATCTTTGGTAGAATTTCAGATTTTCAGTGGGGAGGAGGAGGAGGAGGAGGAGAAGGAGGAGAGAGAGAGAGAGAGAGAGAGAGAGAGAGAGAGAGAGAGAGAGAGTGAGTACATGTTCACGTGTAAGCGTGCCCTTTCCCCCGACCCTCCGAGAAAAAAATGAAATGGGAAAAGGAGATCCATACCCAACAGCAGATTCCTCTGTGCTCATGTTTGTACAGATCTCTCACCCAACTCTGTTATCTCTATGTCACTGTCCTGCTATCAGAGCCCAGAAACCCAAGTGGAGTGAAGAATGAAAGCAAACAAGGGCTTCACCTTCAAACATCTGCCTAACTGGGGGGTTCAGTTAGGATAGGGTGAGTGGGGCTGCAGGATGTGTCTAGAGTCACTCTCCACCGTGAATATCGTGTGTGGGGCTTAGAGCCAGAAAGCTGCTTACTGTGGGTGTGACAGGGTAGAGAAGACATCTGAGAGGAGAAAAGGAGAGGTGAAAGAAAGAGAAAAGGGTCAAATGAGGGGAGAACAGGGAGCATGGGAGAGATTCAGTGCAGTACAGAGTCTGTGAACCGTGACACTGAGGCTCAGATGTGAGGAACTCACAGGGAGGAGGGGAGTGGAGAGGAGAAAAGAAGACTAATTGAGATGAGGAGAGGTGAAGGAGGCACCGGGTTCTTAGTGGGGGGCCCCCAGACGTGGAGGAAATGGCGTCAGGTACCGCCACATTCCAAGCAGTCATTAATGACCTTTGCGCTAGCAGAGCAGGAGCCGTGTTGTGTGTGTGGAGAGGGAGGGGGAAGAGATTGGTACAAGGGCAGCGACATTACCGAGGAATTTGGTCTGGCCCCAGCGTAGCTGCTAGGATTGCACGCTTCCGGGGTTGCGTTACAGGCCCGATACAGGAGGTGACCCTGGAATGAAGGCATGCCCTGCCCCTGCCTGGATAGCTAAGTGATGCCCGAGGCATCCCTGGGATTGCCAGGTTTGCACTGAGGCAGGGTCAGTCGGCCACCAGACAGCTACTCACCCAGGATAAGCAACACGTTGCGGTGGCTTTGTTGCAGCCCCAGGCATACGCCGAGAGCTAAGAGAAAGACGCAACCGCCGAGCTCGGACCGGGGCATGACGAAGACCCCAGGGACTTCATAGGCAGCTACAGCTCCTCCTTCCAGTCCCAGCCCCAGCTCCAGCTCCAGCTGGCCCTCTCCGTGCTAGCCTCGGGAGATGGGAGTGAGTTTTGTCTCCAGGCCCAGCTCCTCCTCCTCCCGCGATCACATGAGCAGGGCCTAAATCGTCCAGTCAAGTCCAGTCCCGGCACTTCTTTGTCCTTTACTCCCCTCTTCCCTCCACCTCTGTTTCCCAGAGCTCGAATCCTCTGAGTCGTAGACTGAGGCTGAGACGTCCCGGGGGGGCGTAAGGTGAGTCCCCTACCTGGCAGTCCCCGATCCTGCGGAGAGGGGGCAGAAGGGACTTGGCAGAGAAGTGGGGACGGTACTGAAAGAGTTTGAGTACCTGGTGCCTGGCAACCCACGGGAAATGTGGTGTTCACCTGGAGGGGCAAAGTAGAGTTCATTCTCAAAAGCCTCTTTCCCCCCCTCCCGTGGATAAAGTGCTGGACATGGAGACAGGAAAGCCTGGGTAGGCATTCTGCATGATAGTGATGAGCTGTGTGACCATGGGCACTAAACCTCTCCGACCTTTGTCTATAAAATGAGGGTACTAATATCTTGTAGGACCTGCCTCATAGGGTTGTTTTAAGGGTCATATGGGATAATGCGCAGCAAATTCTCAAGTGCTATTATTAATTGTTCTAGTAACTCTAAAGAGATCCTGCCGTAGCCGAATGAAGTGTACCTGCCAGAGCTGCCCCAAAAGTGCTGGAACCTGGGGGCTCCTGCGCTGGAGTGGAAGGAAATTCTTTGGACTGCTGGGGAAAAGCATCAGAGTGAGTACAAAGTCCATTGATGGATTTACTGTATTCAAATATTGACCTCAGCCCTAGATTTGGATTACTTTATATCTACAACATAGTTGTAGACATACTTCATATGTACAACACTATATATATGTATGTATGTATGTATTTATGCAACACATTTCATTAGGGCATACATCCAGGGAATTTAAATTTTTTAGGTGAACATTTATTCAATAGTCATGAAAGACATAATTTGTATTTATCAAACTAATGTAAGTAAACAACTTTAAAAACATTAAATAAACTTTACTTTTAAAAGAAGCAGCATGGTAAAAAAAAAATTAAAAAAAAAAGGCCTTGGAGCCAGGAAGACCTGGGTTCAAGACCCCCCTCTGACACATAAAGCCTGTGTGACAGTTGGCAAATCACTTAGTTGCAGAGGAGTGCTTACTGCTGTGATAGTGGGAGTTTCCTCTTCCAGGAGTTATTCATATTAATAAAATCACAGGTCCAGTTACTATCCCTTACTTAAAAATATAAACAATAGGAGCAGCTCGATGACACACTTGCAAAAAAAATACATATATATATATATACATATATATGCACATATACATATACATATATAAACAATAAAACAGAAAAGTGCCAAAAGGGAAAAGGACCCACATGTATAAAAATATTTATAGCAACTCTTTTTGTGGTGTCAAAGGATTGGAAATTGAGGGGATGCCCATCAATTGGGGAATGGCTGAACAAGTTGTGGTATATGAATGTAATGGAATACTATTGTGCTATAAGAAATGATGAGCAGGTGGATTTCAGAAAAAACCTGAAAAGACTTCCATGAACTGGGGCTGAGTGAAGTGATCAGAACCAGGAGAACATTGTACACAGTAACAGCAACATTGTGCGATGATCATCTTTGATAGACTTAGATCTTCTCAACAACACAATGATTTAAGACAATTCCAAAAGGCTCATGATGGAAAATGCTATCCACATCCAGAGAAAGAACGATTGAGTTTGATGCAGATTGAAGTATACTGTTTTTTCTTTTATCTTGTTTTTTCTTTCTCATGGATATTCCCTTTTGTTCCAATTCTTCTTTCACAACCTGACTAATGTGGTAATATGTTTAATATAATTGTACATGTATGGCCTCTTGTCAGATTGCTTGCCATCTTGGGGAGTGGAAGGGGGGAGGGACAAAAAAATTTGGAACTCAAAAATCTTATGAAAGTGAATGTTGAAAACTATCTTTACATGTAATTGGAAAAAAATAAAATACTATAATAGGGGAAAAAAAGAAAATACCAAGTTTTTGGAAACAGGATATGCCTGGGCACACTCAGGGTACTCTGTATTCACACCTGTGATATCCATCCATTCACCCATCCATCCATCCATTTATCCACCCACCCATCCATCCACCCACATATCTAGACATTGGTCTATCCTTCCTTTTGTTGTTGTTCAGTCATTTCAGTCATGTCCACCTCTTTGTGACCCCATTTGGGGTTTCTTGGCAAAGATACTGGAGTGGTTTGCCATTTCCTTCTCTAGATCATTTTACGGATGAGGAAACTGAAGCAAACAGAGTTAAGTGACTTGTCCAGGGTGACACAATTAGTAAGTATCTGAGGCCAGATTTGAACTCTGAAAGATGAGTCTTTTTGCCTCCATGCCTGGCACTCTATCTGCTGTGCCACCTACCTGCCATCTGTCCATATATACATATGTATATACACAACAGGATCCCACATACATATGAAAGACAATGTAGTATGTAGTTGAAGAACAAACTTTAGAGTCAGGAAACTGGGTTTACTCCCCACTTTGACACATACTGGCTATATGACCCTGAGCAAATCACTTAACCTCTTAGAGTTCCAGGAAACTAATTATAAGTTGCAGAACAGTTGCTGGTCTGCATTGGTGGAGGGATCTTTCTCACCAGTAGTTCCCTACATCTATGAAATCACAGGCCCAGTAAAGAAAGAAAATATATATGCGTATATGCATGTATTAATGTATACCTACACTGAAAAATAACACTGAGACCCTACTCAGGTTTAATACCAACCAAATTTAGGTGGAGAGATTTGGCCTCTATTAGGATCAATATGGTAAACTGCTTTCCTCCTGAGACCAAAGCTAAAGCTTCTTACAGAAGAAAAAAGGGCCCTAGATTCGTTATCACATTATTTAGGATCAAATTCTGGCACACGGCGCTTCCTAACTCTGTGACTTTGGGCAAATCTCAGGCCTCACTCTCATTTGTAAATTAGGAAGTTTGACCAAATAGCCTTTAAGACTCATTCTAGCTCAAAAATTTACAATTCTGATCCCATGGTGTCATTAATGAGCAATAAGGGAAGGCAGTAAGGAACCAAAGTACAGGGGGAGGTGAAAGAATGGGGAGATAGGATTACTTTCCAAAAGCAAACCTGACAGGTTGGATGTCAGGGTAGTCCAACTAGGGAGAATGACTAGGGAACTCAGGCCTCCAGTTTTCTTCTTCTAGGGCTGACCTTTTGTACAGAGAGGAATGGGTGATATAAAGGAAAGATGCCATTGAGGTCAACCCTTCATTTTATAGATGAGGAAACTGAGGTGCAGAGAGATGAAATGACTTGGCCAGGGTCACGTAGCTAGTAATTATCTGAGGTAGGATTTGAATGCATCACTTCCTGATGTTAAGTCCAATGCTCTATCCACTATGTCATGTTGACTGGGGAAACACCAGTGAAAGAAAGAAAAAGTTGATAGTGTAGAAAGCAGGTTTGTCTACTTCATAGCTTTTGCCTAGTACCAGTGTTTCCTCTCAGCCTTTGCCCCTACCCCCATCTCTCCAGCCTGGACAAATGCAAGTGATCTTTGTTGGGCCCCCAGATATATTTGAACTACTGCTGAGGTGAGAGGTGTTATATAGGACACTAATTCTTTAAGGGCTTATAACCTCTGGGAGGCTTATAGTTTCTGGAGACCTTTTTGTTTCCCTTAAACTGTAAACCTGTACTTAATAGTACTTGGATGGCAGAGGAGCTAGAGTGAGGTAGCAGGGACAGCCGGCCTGCTTGATTTCCAGGATCACTGGTAATAAAGACCCCGCTGGAGGTACCTTTTGCTACAGCTCCTCTGACTGTTTGTCTGTTTTATACAGGACCGCCTGCTGTCCTTAGAGCCTAGGTCCTCGGAGCCTAGGTCAGATCAGCGGACATCAGCATGACAGAGAGATCCTGGTGCTGCTCTCTAGAAATAGTTCGGAAGAGGCTTCCTATCCTGGGATGGCTTCCCCACTACTCCCTGAAGTGGTTACAACTGGACAGCATTGCTGGGTTAACTGTGGGGCTGACTGTTGTGCCCCAGGCTCTGGCCTATGCTGAGGTGGCTGGGCTACCTGTCCAGGTGAGATATCTGAGCTCAGGCAATAATAATCCATTCCATCCAGTACTGTGACACCCCTCACACACAACCCATTTCTGCTGTGGCCTTCAATCCAGCAACAGGAGCAGAAATATGTGGAAATAGCCCTAGACATATAAGTATACTTGCATACACACATACATATACACACATATATATGCATATACATATACAATGCCCATCTATACATTTGTGATTGTGTATAAAAACAGTACATGTGCATATATACGTATATAATATAAATACTATATGTTTTGGTCAAGGGTTTTTAACTTTTTTTGGTTCATTAGATCCCTTTGGCAGTCTGGTGAAGCCTATGGACCACTTCTCAGAATAATACTTTTAAATGCATAAAACAAAATACATAGACTTGCGAAGGAAACCAATTATATTAAAATAAATTTATTGAAAAATTTTTTTAAAGTTCACAGATCCCAGGTTAAGAACCTCTAATGTAGATAGTTATACACACACACACAAACACACACACATAGTTATAGGTATATAGCTATTTAAAACTGTCTGGCTATTTGTAACCATAAAGAGATATGAAACTATGTAGCTAGCTAGGTAACTATCTCTCTAAATATGAGTATAGAGAGGCAGCCTCAGAGTCAAGAAGACCTGGACTGTCTGATCAATACTGTATGATCTTGGGCAAATCACTTAACTTCTTATTAATTGCCTCAGGGTACTTTTTAAGACCATGGATTGTAGAGAAGGTGCTAATGTGTACTAGTAAAGGACATCTCCTCGTCTTGGAGATCCCTATACCAATGAAATCACAAGTCTAAGACCTCTGTGTCTCTGTATGTATAGTTGGACAGACAAATAGCTAGATAACTCCTAATTTTAAGTGTTAAAAGAGGGAAACAAAGGCACGGACAATCCAAAATCACATGTAGTAATTTGCAGTCAGGGACACACATAAACATACCTACACACAGATTCACTCTCCTTCTTCCATATTCAACAGCAACTCGAATTGGTTCTGCCCTACTATTAGCTTTCTTAGGCCCCAGCTGGATGTTGGAAACCCTCCTCCCTGCCAATCACTCTAAGTAATCTACTTGTGGACATCTGGGAGCTATCTGTGCATATTTTGCCCTGTGTGTGGCTGTGTGTATGGATGGCACACCGTAGATGGTTAATTAATTTAATGCTTAAATATCAAGTACTGTTCACATATATAGGCACACATGCCTTAGTCACTGGCTGATGATTTTGACCAGCTCAGTGACTTCCTTATCCTTCTTGTAATCCTGTCTCTGTTTCTCTGAGCAGTATGGCCTCTACTCCTCCTTCATGGGATGTTTTGTGTATTTTTTCCTGGGCACCTCCCGGGATGTGACCTTGGGCCCCACAGCCATCATGTCCTTGCTGGTTTCCTTCTACGCCTTACACCAGCCTGCCTATGCCGTGCTCCTAGCTTTCCTCTCTGGCTGTATCCAGTTAGCCATGGGGATTCTGCACTTGGGTAAGACATCTAGAACTTCCTTCCTGGACTCTCTGGATACATTTGGAAAGAAGTGGTTACAACTTCTCATCCCTATCTCATCAGCTTCTGCCTTCTATACTCAATGGTCCCCGCCTCTATCTTCTCCAAAAGGATGGAGCAATCTCTTCCAAGCCAGGTCACTGGGCTGGATATTCAGAAGCTCAGGACACCGTTTTACCTCTTAAAGGCAGTTAGGTTACACAGTGGATAGACTGTTGGAGTCAGAAGATCTGATTTCACACATTTACAAGGTATTTGACCCTAGGCAAGTTATTTAACCTCTGTCTGCCTGATTCTGCATCTGCAAATTGGAGATAATGATATCACCTACTTCTTAGGGTTGTTGTGAGGAAAGAATGAGAAAATATTTATAAAGCACTTTGTAAATTTTATTGTTGTTGTTTGTCCTTCATTCCGAAGAGGACCCATGACATTAGGGAGGTGATGCCATAACATGCAAGTGAATTGGATTTAAGTGAGGGAGGGCTCTGCAAAGTCACCAGTCTAACTTTCTCCACCAGAGCCATCTGGGTCCAGTAGCCAGACCTGGATCAGGACAACTGGAGATGGCCCTGGATGCAATGGGAGACCTTGGCCTTTTCAAGCTAAGGTCTTTAACAAGTCTCTGTTGACTGAGGCAACACCCATTCAGTGATTAAGACTAGGTAAGAAATGAGGCAGAGAATGGCCTCTTTATGCAGTAAAAAAAAAAACCCACTTGGGAGGGGAAGACCGTCAGGGTTTCTGGCCATAACAGAAGCAATTGTTATTTATATTCATTCTGAGCCAATCAGGGCCCAAACAATGACCAAATAGGGCTTGGCCTAGGATGCATTGTTGGCCAATCCAAGGGAACCTAAGTGTTATGGGGTTTGGGTTAGTGTTTTAGAAAGAAAAAAAGTTTCTGAGATTAAAATTTACATTCCCTTTGGGCAGATTACCCACTGGTAGGGCATGACACTCTATGTGTACTGGGGGAAGGGAAAGAAAGAAAGAAAAAAAAAGAAAGAAAGGAAATTTTAAAGCACTTATTAAAGTTTAAAGTACTTTGTAGCTAGCATTTATTATAATAACAAGCTATGTAGTTGCTAGCTATAATAATAATCTTTTTCCTTTTTTGGAAGAAATATAAAAAAATTCAGGGTAATTCCATTCTTTTCTATAACTCTACCCATTACTTCCTCACCCTTTGCCCCCACCCCTGCTACTTGCCACATCTCCACTTTCTGACATCTCCTGGGAACCAGAAACTGTTTAATTTAAGATGTCACTCCATGACTTTCTTTTGTGTTGGCCAGGGTTCTTGTTGGACTTCATTTCCTATCCTGTTATTAAAGGCTTCACGTCAGCTGCCTCGATCACCATTGGGTTTGGCCAGATCAAGGTAGGAACATCATTCTTCATGGCGCTGCTGCCCACTGTTAGATGGTTTCTATGGGGTACCTGGTGAGCAAGAAGCCCAGGTGTCTGAGGGTCAGTAAATCCCCAGAGCCAGTAATAGTAACATGCCAAGTTAAAGCTATCCTTTTTTCCTAGGAACTCAAAGCACTTGACAATTATTGTCTCACTTTGCCTCAACAAATAAGGACATAGCTAAGAGGGGGCTCTCACCAACCTCCGTCTTACAGGGGGGACACAGGGAGACACAGGTTAAGAACTCCTGGCCTCGAGCCTTTTTTCCTACTCCTAGAATGGTGCTTGGATAATTGGTGCTAGGGAAAAGTCTAAAAATCTTCTGAGCTGTTTTTTTTTACTGGAATTAAGAAAAATTAAGAAAAATAACTTTCAATAAGCTTTGATTAGGATCTTTGCCTCTGAGGGAAGTTGAGAGACTGTTTCTGGACTTCATAGGAGCGGGAAGTATCTTATTTGGCTGGGATAGTTTCCAGTAGTTCTGAAGGGACAAAGAAAAATGAGCTGACCTCTTAAGGTCTCGTCTAATCCTGAGGTTCTGCTTCACACTTATATTTAATACATTTTGGGAGACCAATTTGCCTTGGAGATTTCCAGTCGGTTGATATGAGGCAGAATAGCACCCAGCATGTGTGCCGAGGTCTCTCTACTTGTGCTGTAGTCTGGCCCCAAGAGAGTGGGCAGAGTTCTTGATCCTCTCTCCTCTCTTCTCCCCTTACCTCTTGGAAGGTGCTGCTCTGTGTGTGTGAAGTGGGGGACAGGGCTGAAGGGAGATTTGGAGGAAGCAGACATAGTGGGAGGAGATGTTAATGAAAGGATGCACTATAGATCTGTTCTTTTAATCCCTGCCCTTGATAGGGTAGAGCTCCCCAGTGCCTCTGAGATAAAATGCAAACACCCCTCTGCTTGGCAGTTAAAGCCCTTCACAACCTGGCTGCCAGCTCCCAATCCCTCCAAACTGACCTACATGTGCTGTTTCCTGGAAATGACATTTCCACCTCCCACCTGTGTACCTTTACATAGGCTGTTCATAGATGCACTCCCTTCTCACCACTTAGAATCCCTAAAGTCTTGAAAAGCTCAGCTCAAATGTTAGCTCCTATGTGAGGCCTTTCTTGATTCCTCCCCCAGCTGCTAGTACCTCCCTCACCCTTGAAATTACTTTGTAGTTACTTATAATAGTTGTTTAATAAATATTACTTTGTTAACATTTCATTATTTACTTCATTATTTATTTTGTTAATTTATAAAATATTGGGCTTTGCACAGAACCTCCTGGGTCTGCGTGACATCCCTCAGCAGTTTTTCCTTCAGGTGTATTACACCTTCCTCAGAGTTGGGCAGACCAGGTAAGCCACTGGTCTCCTGCTTTTTTATTTGCAGTCTATTGGGAAGAGAGGGAGGGAGGGAGAGAACATTCTCCATCCCCAAAAGAAACACTGTTCAGAGGCTCACAGACTTAGAGCTCAAAGAGACCTAAGGGGCCATCTGGTCCAACCTCTTCACTTTACAAATGAGGATACTGAGGCCCAGAGAAATGAGGTAACTTGCCCAAGGTCACTCACTCAGTAAGTGGCAGAGCTGGGATTTGATTCTTGGTCCTCTAACTCCAAATCTGCTCGTCTTTTCACTGTAACATGCTGTTTCCCAATTGTTTCCTGTTGCAGTTTCCATCTTGGGCCCCAAGCCAGGTTAGATTCTAGCCCGTAGAGCAATTGAGAAGTCAGTCAGCACCTGTGGTTAATCGCCAGTGTCATGTCAATTGTTTTTGTTCAGTCATGTCTGACTCTTTGTGACCCCATTTGGTGTTTTCTTGGCAAAGATATTGGAGTGGTTTGCCATTTCCTTCTCTAGCTCATTTTACAGATGAGGAGACTGAGACAGCTTTAAGTAACTTGCCCAGAGTCACACAGCTAGTAAGTATCTGAGGCCTGATTTGAACTCAGATCTTTCTGACTCAAGGCCCAGTGCTCTGTGCGCTGTGCCACCTAGCTGCCTCAATATCATTGCTCAATATCAGGCACTTGGAGGAGTCAGTGAGCAGTGGGCATTGGAGGAGGGTGATAATGATAAAAGAGGAGTAACAGGTAACCCCTGTCCTCAAGAAGGCTAGGGAGACAGAACATGCATGTACAGAATAACTGAAGAACACAGCAGCATGCCAAAAAGTAAAGATGAAAATAATATAAAAAGAATGCACCCTTCCTACTGAGAAGATACCCTCTGGTAGAGATGAATGATCAGAGATGGATTGAACCAATCAAAGAAGGTTTAGAGCCATACATAGGTGGTTAGAGCAGAAAGAGCCCTTTGGGAGCAAACCCCTCTCATTTCACAGAAGGGGAAACTCAGACCTAGGGAGGGTAACTTACCCAAGTCACCCAAGGTCACAAAGACAGGTGATACCTTAGGTAGGACTAGAACCCAGGGCTTGTGACTCTTATTCCAGTATTCTTTTCACTATACCTCTGCTTCACTTCGGAAAAGGTTCTGAGGAAGCCAGGGAGGAGGGAGGCAAGGGTTGATAAAGATGAAGGAGGATGCGTTCCATCTAAGGAGAATGACGCACTTCAGATATGGGAAGGAGTAAGTCAGGCAGCTCTAAACATGGTGTCCCACACTGCCCTTACAGTTTGATTCCCACAGGATAGGAGATGCTTCCCTAGGGTTGGTCTGCATGGTGCTCCTCCTACTGCTGAAGGTGATGAGGGACCAGGTGCCACCCCTCCACCGGCAAATGCCACCTTGTGTCCGGCTTAGCCACCTGCTAGTCTGGACCATTGCAACAGGTGAGCTGGCCCCCCGGAGGATGGACTGAGGGAACTGACTGTGGTGAAAAATAAACCAAAAAAACTCCCAACTCCTGCTTGCATCCAGAAGCTCCAGGCCATCATCTTATCATATGGACTTGCCAAAAGGATAGAATTAAACTGACTAACTTAGAAGTAATAAGGGGCTTAGGAAAATGAATGTGTAATGAGGGCAATTCTGGGCAGCTAGGTGATGCAGTGTATAGAGTGCCAGGCCTAGAGCCAGGAAGACCTGGGTTCAAATTTGACCTCAGACACATATTAGCTGTGTGACCCTAGACAAATCACTTAATCCTGTTAGCCTTAGTTTCCTCATCTGTAAAATGAGCTGGAGAAGGAAATGAAAAACTATTCCGCTATACTTGCCAAGAAAACCCCCAATGGAGTCATGAAGAGTCAAAAACGACTGAACAGCAACAATACTGAGGGCAATTGGCTAGGTATATACTGTCTCCAGAAAAGTGGAAACTTTTGATTCCACTCTGCCTGGGCTCTTCTGAAGAAAGAGATAGTAAATTCCATTGTTGAGGGTTTTTTTTTCTGGTTAGTGACATACAAAGATCTTAAAAATACATATTTCTGGGGGCAGGTAGGTGGCACAGTGGATAGAGATGCGACCTTGGAGTCAGGGGGACTTGAGTTCAAATATGGCCTCAGACAGTTGACACTTACTAGCTGTGTGACCTTGGGCAAGTCACTTAACCCCCAATTGCCTCACCAAAAAGCAAAAAAAAAAATACATATTTCTATAGCACTATATAGTTCATAAACTCTTTCCTCATAACAACCCTGTGAAATAGGTGATATAATTATTTCCATTTTTACAGCTACTTAGAGAGATTTGTCTTTTTAATGTCACACAGTTGAGCAGAGACAAGACTTGAACCCAGGTCTTTTATGTCTAATTTTAGGACTCTTTCCATTGTATTCTATTGCCATTTACTTGTGAGTCAACCAGCTGAGCTCCACCCAAGGGTACATGGGATAAGAAGGTAGCCTGGTGGGTTCCACCCTGTACTGGGACGAGGGGTGGGGAAGGGAGAGGGAAGATTGATCTAGCTCTCACTGTCATTCCCAGCTGATCTGGGAATTATTCTGTTGCCACCTCTGTCTGTGACTTGTTATCTAGAATCAATGAATCTTAGAGACCAAATGTCTAATCCAATCCCTCCTCTAAAATATTAATTACAAAGTAGTGTAGGAGAAAGAATACTCAAGGCACAAGACTGAATTTGAATTTCTGCATTGCCTTTTACTAACTGTGACCTTGAGCAAGTTGCTTCATTCCTTTGGGTCTCAGTTTCCTTATTTGTAAAATGTGGTAGGTCCCTTCCAACTCTAGATTTTTGATTCCTACCATGTCTCCAACAAGTGGTCCCAGTAAGTGGTACAGTATCACCATCCAGAGTTGGGAAGTTTTCACTATTTACTTACCTTATTTTGGGTAAATCCAGCACTCTCAAATCCACATTAATAGAATCATTCTAAAAGGATTGCTTACTTTCCCAAAGAATTGACTACAGGCTGATTTTAAGTAGTGAGCATTTAAAGTATGATTCAGCTTTTGTAGGAAGGTCAGTGGTCTGTTCCCAATTCCTGATTCCCCATGTCCCCATGTCTCCAGTCTCCATGTTACAGACTTAAAGCAATGGACCTGGGCTAGTGGCTGGTGTCCCTCCTCCCTAAAACATATAACATTATCATCAGTGAATGGAATTACTGAGCACCTCCAAGGGATATGGCCTCATTTTAGATAGGAATGAAATGAGTGACAATGTCCCTGCTTTCTTAAAGCTTACAGTTCAAGGCAAATGGTCATATAACCAAGACAAAATCCAGAGAGACATATCTCTCTATAGTCATGTTAGTGGACCTTGTTTTCTGTGGGATTTCTATCTATTTCCTGGGTCATTCAGTATCCCCTTGTTCCTTTACAAAACAATTTCTAGTAGGGAGCTCAGAAGTCCACAGTTCAGACATAGTGTTTAAGATAAACTCTGATCTTAAAGCTTTTTTGTAATTTTTAATATGTATTGAGATATATTTTCATATAGAGGATGGGGGTTTCAGGGGAGGGAGGAGTAGCTCTGTCCCTGTGAATGTCCTTTTTAAAATTTATTTAGATGGCCACCATTTATTTATTTGCTTATTCATTTATTTTTGACATTCATTTTGAAAAATTTTGAGTTCCATATTCTCTCCCTCCTTCCAGACCTTCCCCCCCCACATTGAGAAGACAAGCAATGTGATATCAGTTACATATGTGAAGTCATGCAAAACATATGTCCATATTAGTCATGCTGCAAAAAAAAAAGGAAGAAAGAAAAATAAAGTAAAAAAATGTGCTTTAATTTGCACTCAGAATCCATCAGTTCTCCTTCTGGAGGTCAATAGCATTTTTCATCATGAGTCCTTTGGAATTATCCTGGATCGTTGTTGATTAGAGTAGTGTCTTTCACAGTTCATCATCTTTATAATATTGCTGTTACTGCGTACAATGTTCTTCTGGTTCGGCTCACTTCGCTTTGTATCAGTTCATATTAGTCTGCCAAGGTTTTTCTGCTCATCATTTCTTACAGCAAAATAGTATTCCATCACAATCATATACCACAACTGTCTGATCATTCCTCAATTGATGGGCATCTCCTCAACTTCCAATTCTTTGCCCCACAAAAAGAGCTGCTATAAATTTTTTTGTACATATAGGTCCTTTTCCTTTTCCTTTGATCTCTTTGGGGTACAGACTTAGTAGTGATATTGCTGCTGAATAGTTTCTCTTGTCATTCCACTCTTGATCACAAACCAAATATCTGTGGTTGCTCAAGCTTACCCTCCCTCTTAGTTCATTTCCTCTGCTCTTAGACCAAGGCCCCAAACCCACTATGGGTATGACTCTCAAGTACCAATAGTTACTCTTACTCTCAAATACCCTTACATATATACTCTACAATCATTGTCTCTTTTTCCATGCTGCTATTGTCACAGATCTCCAAATGTTTTTGATCACACATCCCATCAGTAAAAACTTCTTTAGTATACACTGCCAATATGTGTATATTTTTAGGTAGGTATGATTATATGAATAATTATGGCCATTTTAAACCATGTAAAAAGAATAGAAGTTTTAAATGGACAAGATGAAATAATAGTCTAAAGCAGGGATAGGAAACCTTCAAAATCCCTTTGTTCTGTGAAGTTTGGATTCAGTCAAAGGGCCTCACTTGAGGACCCGGAGGGCTCCTCATTCACAGGTCCCTCACTCTAGTCTAAAGGGTATTTTGAGTATAATTTAGTAATGTAGTATATATAATTTAATTATAGTATTTTAAAAGGTTAAAATGAAATCATATTTGAACCTAAAATTAATAGGACGCTATTGGAGTGTATTGTGTAGGAAAATGATGTGGTCAGAATTGTTTTAGGAAAATCATTTTAGCAGCAGTGGGGAACTTTGTGAGTGATTAGGAGGCTATTTTGGATAGCCCAGGTGAGAGGTGATGAACTAACATTGGTGGCTGTCTGATCGAAGAGAAGGGATAGATGCAAGAGATGTTGTAGAGGTGGAAATGGCAAAGTTTGGCAACTGATTAGAGATGTGGGACGAATGAGAGTGTGGAGTCGAAGTTGATACTGGACTGTGAACCTGATAACTGGAAAGATGGTGGTGTCCTCAAGACAAATAGAGAAATTCAGAAGAGGGGTGTGTTTAGGGGAAGGATAAAGTCACAAGATTGGTGATACAGATCACAACCCATCCTGCCTGATCATCTTGTGAAACTTACTCTCTACCCAAAATAAAAAGGAGTAGAGTTGGTGGGATGGGGTCAGAGTACAGCACCTGCCGTTTGAAGGGTACCTGCTTGTGCCTGGGGATCTAGAGGCTGGGGTAGGTATGCTGGGGCAGAGGGAAAATTTTCCCAATGGCTACTGTACAGCTGCTACTCTGGGTACCCTGTAGATGAACATAGGCTCAAAAGAGGGCAAGTTAGAAGCTTGCAAAGCAGAAGGAGAGGGCAGAGTAGGGAAGCTTTGGGGAATAAGGGTAAAAACTCCATGATTGACTATCACAAGGAGAGTGGGATGCGACCCATCTTCCCACCCTTTGGTTGATCACAGCCCTTGTACACAGCCCATAGCTCCCACTTTGGAGACCACTGCTTTAAACCATCAATGATGGAGAACAAACTTGAGGCAATTTCCCAACACTCTAAGTGCCACTCCTCCCCTAGAATTCCAGACACTTCTTTCTCATTACAACTGGTCCCAGGATGGATAGGGATTGGGAATAGATGTGTGATTTCTTTCAGTGGTGTAGGAAACTCCCCAGATGAGGAAATGACCTTTGCCAATGTACCTTCTTTACAATTTAGAGTCTTAGAGAGTTGCCCAGAGCAATGAAATGTTAAATGACTCACCTGCAGTCATAGCCACTATCTGTCAGATGCAGTCATTGAAGCTAGGTCTTCTTGGTTCTGAGGCCAGATATCGATCCCAGGAAAAGGGGATGAAATCTTCCCTTAAAGAGGTAGCACTTGTGCCCCCTCTTACTCTTTTAGCTTTGTAGCACCCCAAGCTTCTGAAGATACTTTTACAAAAAGATTTACACACTAGTGGGGTTAGAAAAGACTAGGAAGATATTTCCAGGTGTTTTCTATTTCCATAATTGTCTGCACTCATAAATAGCCTCATAAAATGTTAGAACTGGTAGGGACTTCAGAGATTGTCTAATCCAGGGGTGGGGAACCTGCAGCCTTAAAGCCACATGTGGCCTTCTAGATCCTTGGGTTCAGCCTTTTAACTAAGTACACGTTTTACAGAACAAATCCTTTTATTAAAGGGATTTGTTCTGCGCAGTTTGGATTCAGTCAAAAGGCCGCATTTGAGGGCCTAGAGGGCCACATGTGGCCTCGAGGCTGCAGGTTCCCCATCCTTGGTCTAATCATTCCCATTTATTTTACAGAGGAGGAAACTGAAGCCCAGAGAGGAAGAAATCAACTTATTTAAGGTCATACAGCTTATAAGTAGTAAGGCTGAGGCTAGAACTCATGTCTCCAGCCTGTTAGTCCAGATCTTTTCCCACTATACCACAGATTCACACATGGGTGTAACATACATGGATTCATGATGAACCCATGAACATGATGCACACGTATATGTTGTACATCCAATGGGTATTTGTTGAATCATGGAAAAGCAGCAGTGAGCTGATTGATATCTTTGGCAATAACACAGGGAAAACAAGACTGACTTTGTTCTCTCCTTGCATGCTAATTCTTCTTTTTGTCTGGAGTAAAGTTTAACTGCTGCTGTTTCCCCTGTGTTCTAGCCCGCAATGCTCTAGTGATACTGTTTGCTGGCCTGGTTGCCTACTCCTTCCAGGTGATGGGATCTCAGCCATTCCTTCTGACTGGGAAAACTGCAGAAGGTCTACCTCCCTTCCAGCTTCCTCCCTTCTCTGTGGCCACCCCCAATGGGACTGTGTCCTTTAACCAAATAGTACAGGTGGGTAGACATCCTAGGCTACCATGACTTCTGTGTCTGCTGCCCCCTGGTGGATGCAAGAACCCCATTGGGTCCTAATGCTGTTGTTTGGTGATGAGGTCCAAGCCCCTGCTGGAATTTCTGAATTGTTAGCAAGAAGGTGGAGATAAGGCATTGCTTTTTGGCAAAAGGATATTGGTGAAAGAATTCCAGACTGAAAAAAAGTCTGGTGAAATGGTTCTTTTGCCTCTAAGTAGGAAGATACCAAAGGGCTATTCCTTCTTTAAAGACCTTCAGAGAAAAAAGATTCAACATCCTTCCCAGTCATTTCTTCAGAATTCTTTAATTTTGGCACATGGGGAAAACAAAAGAAATTCACCCTCAAATAAATTTAGTAATTTGTAATATGAAAAATAATATAAAAAGCAATTAAATCAAATTCACTCAAGCAAGGAGAATGAATTATTTTAGATTTTTAAGTTTGGGTGTTAATAAATACCATTTAATAAACTATGTCATCTGCTAGCTTCCTATTTTAACTAATTATTCTTGCCAAATAGGTGCTTAGCTCAGTTGATGCTAAACTACTAAAAGAAGTCATGTTTTAAATTTTTGCACTCCTTATAATTTGGTATCCTGGATCAAAGCCCCAGTCCCTCTGCCCCAGGCTCTGCTTGTCCCACCACTTATCTCACAACTCTCAGTATCAAAAAATCCTTCATTCATCTTTAACTTAAGTCTTATATTATGCTGTAGTTAAAATGTGTTTAACTCTTCTCTGAAGGGTAGCCCTTATTTAGCTATCTGAGTCAGCCCTTCCTCATGCGGTATTAGGAAGCAGTGGATCCTCTAAGCTATAAAGATATGGGTCCCTAAGGCCCAGTTGGTGAAAATATTCACACTTTCCTTCTTTCCTTCCAGGATATGGGTGTTGGGCTGGCTGTGGTGCCCCTAATGGCCCTGTTGGAAAGCATCACTATTGCCAAAACCTTTGGTAAGGTCTGCTTGCTAAAAACACCCTTTCCTTGGCATGTTCCTGAATCCAGGCCTCCCTCTGTTTGGGATTCGTCTTTATAATTCCCCTAATGCCCTGGCCTACCCTTCACCCCTTCACTTGGACACATTGGTTAGAGGGGGTTCCAAGGACTCATTCTCATCAATAACTGTTTTTTTGTCTTCCTTTTCTTTAGCATCTCAGAACAACTACCACATTGATTCCAACCAAGAGCTGCTGGCCATTGGTAAGACCCTAGCCACAGATTTCCAGAGATGGGCTTATTGAGTTGTTCAATTAAAGGAATCTTCTAACTTAGGCTGTACCAGGAATGGGACTTATGTAAACCAGGAAGGCAACAAGCATTTATTAAGTGCTTTCTATATGCCAAGCACTGTGCTAACCACTTGTACACAGTATTTAATTTGATTCTCACAACAAACCTGGGAAGTAGGTGTTAATATCCTGATTTTACAGCTGAAGAAACGGAGGCTGATTAAGTGATTTGCCCACTGTCACACAGCTAGTAAGTATCTGAGTTTGGATTTGAACTCAAAAACTCAGCTCCTTCTGACTCCACGCCCAGTGTGTTATTTACAGCACCGCCTAGCTGCCTAGGAGGAGATTAAAGAATATATTCTTATTACATTAACATAATTTAAATTAGATTTTTATGAGCTCATTTTAAACATGGAACAACCTTGAATGGTATGGACTTGGCCAAATTTAGGCTTAGCCCATGACATTTGGCCTATGAGCAGACGTGGGATTTTTTTTGGGGGGGGCTCCTATTTTTCTTGCTTATTGCTGCTGTTGTTTGTTTTTACGACGACTCCCTGGTTAAATTAATTATTTAAATGAGAAACAGGTTAAATTCCATTTTTTAAATGGAAAAAACAAACACTAAGTAATAGGGTGGTTGGAAACATTGTTATTCTTTTTTCACAGTGGCAAAAACTTTGATTAAAATATATGGAGGACTCCCCTTTTGGAACAAAAAGAAAGTTTCTTCTGATCCATTGGGATTATTGAGGTATATTGTGAAAGAAAGTAGCACCAGAAATGCCAAAGGCACTAGATGGCTTGTTCTCAATGGAAAAGCAAAAAGAACTTAAGTTGTCTTTAAAGATCAGGCAGTTAGAGGGCAGAAGCAAATCAGATATAAATTGTTGGGTTGTTTTTTTTTTTTTTAAAACATGTACTGAAGTTGGAGGGCCATTTAATTGATATGTTGATTACCAAGGTGAAGAAGTCAATGTTAATGGAGTTTGGCACTAATCAGCTATAGGAGAAAAGTATACTTTCTGATCCAGAGGTGTTTTTGGGGAATGCCTTGGACCCTATGGAGTTGAGGGTTATAAATGGGATAATAGGGGTAAATGTGATCAAGAATTAGAGAAAGTGCTTTAAAAAAAAATCTCAAATTTAATCTGTTACTACCCTGAGGGATGCTACTTTCCGGGGAGCAGCTTCTAGAATGGATAAATAAGAGAGTGTTCTGGACTTTTAAGGAATATGGATGGTTGTAAGAGAAGACTGGGAGAGTTTACAGACGATTTACTTTTGCAAAATCAAATGAATCAGTTGCTGGATACCACAACAGATAGAGTGTTGGATCTGGAGTCAGAAAGACCTGAGTTCAAATGCAGCCTCAGGTACTTGCTAACTGTGTGACCCTGGGCAAGTCACTTAACTTCTGTCTACTTTAGCTTCCTCATCTGTAAAATGGGGATAATAATAGCACCTACCTCCTGTGGTGAATGGACCAAATGAGAAAACATTTGTAAAGTGCTTTGCAAACCTTAAAGTGCTGTATAAATTCCAGCTATCATCATCATCATCTTTGGTTCTAACTTTAGTTCTTTTTAATTACTAATTTATCACAATTGTCCCCATTCACTTCTAAAGAACCAGCAGTGAGCAAATCACCACCTGCTGCATGGGATCATGGCACATGAGCCTAAGTTGAGGTATCTCGGCACCTGTGTGAGGTTGTTCCACTGGTGCCAATGAGTCCCAACTTGGACTTTGATTTGTATAGAGACTAGAGTTCCGTGTGTCCAGACCATCATCCTTGCAAATATGTGTATTGGCTCCAAGAGGAGCCAGAAGAGAGAACCTATTCTTACATCTCAGGAGTACAACATTCTGCTGTACTTGATGGTGGGTCAGGAGTGCCATCTTTGTATGTGAAAATGTGAATACGCTAAGATTTTAGCATTAAGTTATACATGGATAAGGCAATACATACAGGATAGAGAGAGAGGTCAGAAGTAAGAGCAGGTAGGAAACAAATAGAGACTGTGAAACTTACAAAACCAGACATAGAAGTATTTGGAATGAAGGACTAGTAACCCACCTAACTGGAACAATTAGTTTTTTGTAACTAAAGCAAAGGAGTAGCATCAACAATTTTGAATGGAAATGCCCACATTTTGAACTGACACAACCAGCCAGTGTGGATTCAAGTCTCCATCATTAATGTCCTAACACAGACTCTAACAACGTCTTCCTGAGAGATCAAGGCTGGAGTTATTCCTTTGTTCACCTTGCTGGAGTTATTCCTTTGATCACCTTATTGTTTCTCATGTTTCTCGATCTTGGCTTCTTCTTGGTCAGAGGAGTCTCATGGGAATGTGGAGTTTGGGGCAGATTAAGCTGGCCCACTTGATCTAGCTGTGCTGTGGGTATGGAGCTTTGTTTCATGCTGAACTGTCTCCTAATCAGGACACAAAAGGATCCCATTGTATGTGTGATCATGTGTGGCTGTGGCAGCTGGGAGGGGTTGTGGTTTGAAAACTGGATCCTAGTTTGGGCCAGGTTGGGGTTATTAAAAGTCAGACCTGAGTATTGCGATTGGTTAGAGCCTGTGGCTAGTAAGGCCCAAATTATAGGTCTGTACAGGTCAGGTATCTTTGCATACAGAAAAACTCCATCTTAGTAATAGGTGATATATCCTTGATCTTGGACAGGGAACTTACTAGAATATAGTCACCATGAAAACAGAAACCATTTGTGAATCTTTATTTTCAAGGATTTTGAATTAACTTCAAGGTGGTCTTGACAGTAAGTGGCTGTTAAGTATGTTGACACTTGTGATTATCCCTGTCTTAGCTGTCAGAGAGGCAGTGTGCCATAATGGATAGCATTAGTCTTGGAGTCAGGCACACCTGAGTTCAAAGTTTGCTTTTGATACTAATTGTGTGGCCATAGACAAGGCACTGAACTTATCTGAGCCTCAATTTCCTCATTTGTTAAAGGAGAGGCTTAGATTAGATGGAGATGGCCTCTTGAGTCTTTAAATCTTTTATTTAATCTTTCTCTTTCCCCCAGTGCTCAGCGCAGTGTTTGTTTAATGAGGGTCTGAATCTAGAGGCCAGACATCTTGTAATTGTGTGTTCTTGGACACAGAGAGAACTCGATGATGCAGCTCATTTCCAAAACAGTTTATATTTGTCACATACACATTTGTATCAACCAATCCTTATTTCTGATTAAGGCTCCTTGGCTAGCCACAGCTAGTTCCCTACTCTACCTCTACCTCTGGAGATGCTCCTTACTCTCACTAACCAGATTCTCTCCCTCTTCTCTTTTAGGCCTCACCAATTTACTGGGCTCCTTTGTTTCCTCCTACCCTGTCACAGGCAGCTTTGGACGGTGAGTAATCAGATCTCTACTTTTCCTTTGGCTCCCAGTGTCCTGCAGCCCTAGTCTCTGCCCAAGCAGAGGACTCCATGGCCTGAAGACAAGCAATCCCCACTCTTGCCCTCCACAGCCTAGGGAATTACCTTCCAACTCTTAAGACAGATAGAAGCCTTGTCACTTAGGCCTGCCAAGCCCTTGGCCATGATACATGGTAGGGACAGAGAAATGACCAAGGTCTTGTTGTAGGGTCTGAGTCCCTCACAGATGCTTTTGTATACTCTTTCTCTGGGGATGTCGTCCTCTGTCCTTTCCTCTTTTAGTTTTTCTTGGATATTCAAATGCTACCCACCCCCTCCCAAGATCATCTTAAATCCCAACTTCTTTAGAAAGCCTCCTCAGACCTTCTAGCCCACATTGATTTCTCCTGCCTCTGAACTGCTCTTGCCCTCATTATCTGAATGTTCCCTTTGCCAATTAATCTTGCATTGCTTTGTAATAGCATTCTTATTATCATATGTTATTACTTAAATCTTATATTGTTGCTTCATTTTTAACAAAATAAATATATCATTGTCTCTCCTGTGTGGTTCACAGCACGTAACAGGTGTTTATTACAGGGGTGAGGAACCTACAGCCTTGAGGCCACATGTGGCCCTCTAGGTTCTTCAGAAGTTTGGATTCAGTCAAAGGGCCACACTTGAGGACCTAGAGGGCCACATGTGGCCTCAAGGCTGTAGGTTTCTCACCCCTGGTTTTTTAGATTCTTCAAATTTGATTCATATAATAGAGAGACTGGTTTTAAAACTTCTGCTCTTCCTCATTTTCTTTCTTTGGAACTTAAATATCCTGATTTCTAGGCCCTCTGCTCTAATATACCAACCTACTGCTCCTCTAGGATCCCAGTTTGGGTTCTGCTTTTGTTCACAGCCTAGGAGAGTTACTTCAAGGGTCAGAGGTCTTGGGTTTTACTTCACTAAATCTTTTCATCTTCTCCCTACTCCCAGAATTCCTTAGACCCTCTCCCCTTCTCCCCATTCTATCCTAAATATATTGGTAGGTTGTCTCCCCCTGGTTATAACCTTAGCTTGTTGAGGTCAAGGACTCTCTTGCTTTTGTATACATTTTCTCAGTGCTTAGCACAGTATGACTAATAATTAGATGTTAATAAGTGGTTTTTCATTCATTCATTCCCAGAGCTCTGAATCTAGCTTGCTTTTTTTTTTCCTACCTCTTAGTCCTTGGTCACCAAATTAATCTTTCTCTTTAAAAAAATAATACTTAGCTTGACTCAACACAGCAAGCATTTAACTGGCTGGAGAAATAACCTTCAGTTTAGAGTTCCTAGTCTGTACCCCACCTCCAAGCATCCTCCAACATTCTGTAGTAATTATGCATTTGAATTGCCTTTCAGGACAGCAGTGAATGCCCAAACAGGGGTATGTACTCCAGCAGGAGGACTGGTGACAGGTAAGGAAGTCTCCTGGCAGGGATACTTCTTCCATTATTGCATTGGTAAGCAAGTATGACTTGAGGGAAGGGAAAATTTTGCAGGACATTCATGAAATGCTTTTCTTATTGACTAAGCCTGACTCAGGCTGGTTTGGTAGTTCAGGATCAAGATTGAAACAAAATGAGGAACTTGGGGAACATTTTTAGAAATTATTGGCCATATTTCCCTCTGTATCTCTCCTCCCACTTCCCAGAGAGCCATCACATATAACAGATTTTATTTTTTAAAGAAAAAGAGGAAGAAAGAAAAAAAAATCAGCAAAATTTATCAATACATCTAAAAAACCCTGAAAATATATGCAATGTTCCACATTTGGTGACTTCCCACCTTTCTCCTTTGGGGCCATGTTTGTTGCCTGTAACTTTACAACATTCATTTTTCTTTATTTTTTTTTTTGTGGTTATGCTCATAAAATACTTAAAGGAGGTTTACTTAGCCATTGCAGGAAAGGGATACCGAGCAAGAATATAGTGCTTGACTTAAATAGATGTGGCCTCCCTCATCTCCGTACAGAAATTTACCTGGTCTGCAGGGTAGAGAGAGAGTGATGCCTCCTAAGGCTACAGGAATTCCCTTAAGTCTGAAGGTCTCTGACTCTTCTCTTAGGCTGGCCTCTTTTATGCCTTTTGGCAGGCTGGAAGTGTCAACGACTTGAACCTTAACCCCTAGAACCAATCAGGTCTTAAGAGCAAATTAAAAAAACAATTGGGGGGGGAAGAAAAATGGAGGACCCTAACTTAGTCTTCCTGATGGGGATCCTGGTAGACACTGCTTATTACACCCTTCCATAATATATCCAGCTAGTTGTTATATAGTAATAGCTAACATTTACATAGCTTTTACTATGTGCCAGCAACTGCACTAAGCCCTTTGCAATTATTAATTTATTTGATCCTCACAACAATCCGGGAAGGTAAGTGCTATTATTATCCCAATTTTCTAGGAGAAGAAACTAAGCAAACAGGGTTAAGGGACTTGCCCAGGATCGCATAGCTAGGAAGTGTCTAAGGCTAGATTTGAACTCAGGTCTTTCTCTCTCTAGGCCCAACACTCTATCCACTGCAACATCTATATAGTCTCTACTTGAAAACTTCTAATGATTAGAAATGCTCCCTGCCTTTCAAGGTAGTATTTTTCAACTTGACACAATTCTAATTATTAGGAAGTTCTTTCTTATACTGAAATTAAATTTTGCCTCTAAAACATCCAATAATTGTTTTTTTAGTTCTACCAAAAAAAATTCATTGCTACTTTCTCTTTGCTAAAATTTTCTTTAACATTTTTCAATTAATATTTATTTGTGATATTGGTTTATAGTTCTCTTTCTTTGCTTTATCTTACCCTAGTTTGAGTATTAGGATTATATTTGTCTCATATGTGGAAGTTGGTGATGTTTTTTCTTTTTCAGTTTTTGAAAATAATTAGTATAGTGTAGGTAATAGAAGGAGGACTACAGACAAAAGAAAAATGGAAAAGATTTGCAAAAAACATTTCAACAAACTTTTTTTCCATCAAAGATAACACATACTTGGACCCTGACATCACAGTCCCTGATATGTGTGTATGCATGTGTATATACATATGTATATTTACACACATACATATACATGTACACACAAACACATATATATCACCCTCATAAAAATTTTGAATAGATAAAGGAGTAGGCACATAGGTTGCTTGTGATTTCTCTTGGTTACCTTCATATGTATGTATGTATGTTTATGTATACACACATATGCATATATACATACACATATACACACACATATATACATACATATATATATATACATATATATGTATATATATGGAGTTCTAGATGAAGACTATGCTAGTGATTTTCCTCCAGATTAACGTCGGTCCATTAATCAACACTAAGAACAGATTTTCAACCAATTCCAAATCCAGTTAACTGTACCATCTTTTTTCCTTGTTAATCACTTACAGTTTTATCATCAGAATTTTATTTCTTGGGGCAGCTAGGTGGTGCAGTGGATAGAGCACTGGCCCTGAAGTCAGGAGGACTTGAGTTCAAATCTGACCTCAGACCAAACACTTGACACTTACTAGCTGTGTGACCTTGGGCAAGTCACTTAACCCCAATTGCAAAAACAAAAAAAGGAAACAGAATTTTATTTCTGAGAACTTTCCACCCCTTCTCTTTCTATGATCTCTCTCAGAATCTCAGGCCACTGGATTCTGTCTCTTTATTGTATAAATTCATGGTCCATGGGGTCACAAAGAGTCAGACGTGACTGCTCAGCTCAACAGCAACAACATAAAAACATCCTATTGGTGTTGTCCAAAAATGGAACAAGCTACCTTCAGAGGTGGAGGGTTCCCTCTCCCTGAAACTCTTCAAGCAGAGGCTGGCTAACCCCCTTTTGGGTGTGCTGTAGTAGAAATTCCTTTGGTGTACATGGATTGGACTAATTGGCCCCTCCCTTCCAACACTCAGATTCTGTGATTCTGGGTCTGAGCCTCTGGAATCTTCGCCTGTTAACTTAGAATCACCTGTGTTTTGTCTCCCCTGTTTCACAGTGGGCATTCATCCTGTTTTATCTTCCCTCTCTTGTCTCCCTAGGAGTCCTGGTAATGTTATCTCTCGCTTACTTGACTCCACTTTTCTACTATATTCCCAAGGCCGCTCTGGCGGCTGTCATCATCACAGCTGTTGCCCCCCTGTTTGATGCCAAAATCTTACGGACAGTCTGGCGTGTGAAAAGTATGTATTTCCACTCTCTTTGCCAGATCAGTTCTAGGTATTGGGATCAAGATTACACTGGAGTTTGTACTAGATCAGGACTGGGGCCTGTTGGTTCACAGTTCCAGGGGGTCACCAGGAAGCTGTAGTAAGCAGGGAATTTGTTTGGGGAAGGGATTTGCATAATAGAGTCCTACCGGGAAATGGTAAGAGGGGAGCTTCACATTCCATGGGGGTGACCCACTCTCAGTGGATCCCTTGGTAAATCCTCTAGTTTATAACCCTTCAAAGTATTCTCTTCTACTCCTTCCATCCCTCTCCTGCCCTGCCTTTAAACCAAAGGCACCTACCTAAGGGCCAGTACCTATGAGCATTCTTCCAAGGGCCCAGGCCCTCATCTCAAAGAGATAAGATCAGGAAAAGAATTCACATGTATAAAATTCACAGCAGCTGTCTTTGTAGCAGCAAAGAACTGGAAACTAAGGAAATTGGGAAACAATTGGATAAATTATGGTAAATGTAATGGAATATTATTGTACTATTAGAAATGACAAAAGGAATGGGTTCAGAGAAACCTGGGAAGACTTGTATAAAGTGATCCAGAATGAAGTGAGAGGGACCAAGAGAACAATTTATATAATAATGACATCATAAAGCTAAACAACTTAGAAAGACTTAAGAACTCTAATCAGGGGGGCAGCTAAGTGGCACAGTGGGTAGAGCACCGGCCCTGAAGTCATGAGGATCTGAGTTCAAATCCAGGCTCAGACCTTACTAGCTTTGTGACCTTGGGCAAGTCACTTAATCCCAATTGCCACCTTCCCCCCCAAAAAAAGAACTCTGATCAGTACAATGACCAGAGGATCCATGAACCATGCTACCCACCACGTAACAGAGAGGTGATGAACTCAAGTTGCACATTGAGACATAAGAAAAGAAAAAGAATGCACGCCAGGGGAGGAGAGGGAGGGGGAGAAAAATTTAAAACTCAAAATCTTGTGGAAGTGAATGTTGAAAACTAAAAATAAATTAATTATTAAAAAAAGAAAACAAAAATTTTTCCCTTATAATCAATTTACGTAATGTCTATGTCTGAAAATATATGTTTCACTCTGTACATCTAGGTCATCATCTGTGGAAAGTATGACTCACCATCTGGAGTCATGACTGGTCATTGTGATGATCATAGGTCTTAAGTCTTTCACTGGTGTTTTCCTTCGCAGTGTTGTAATCATTATTTAAATTGTTCTCTGCATCATTTTATACAAATCCTCTAAGGTATACCTGAATCCATTCCTTATGACATTTCATATATTGCCTTAATATTCCATTATGTTCATTTACTATGATTTGTTCAGCCATTCCCCAATTTATGGGCACCAACTTTATGTTGTAGTAAAGAAGTGCAAACAGAGAACTGCTATAAATATTTTTATATATGTGGGTCCTTTTGCTCTGTTTTTGATCTTTTCCAGGGTATAAGCCTAGTTTATTGAATTTTGGGGGTCCAGTTCCAAATTGCTTTCCAGAATGATTAGAACATTTCACAGCTCCACAAACAGTGAATGAAGTGAATGAATAATCCATGGCAACTGGCTCTATCCCTGCTTTTCTTGTGACAGGCCAGTATTGGGAATCTGGCTTAGGGTTCCTGATTATTAGAGTTTGCAATGACTTGTGGATGCTCCCCCTCTCTCCCTGCGTGTTTTCCCCCACCCCACCCCTCACCACTTCCTCAGACCACTGTGTAGTTGGTTTAATTTCTGTTGGCTGAAGCTCAGACTTGCTTTCCTGCTGAAGTTCTCTCCATATTTTTCTCTGACTTCCACTTGGATTAGCTGAGTTCACACTGGCTTCTCTGGGTGTGACCCTTCTCTTAACTGCTACTGGCCTCCCCATTTACCTGTATGCATGCTGATTTCCCTGGAAGATAACTTTAGCTGCTTGTACCAATTTCTGGGGTGTGTGTGTGTGTGTGTGGTGGGGGGGGGTTCTTTAGAATTCATAGACCCTTTAACAGAGTAATACTTGGGACAAGGGAAAGGAAAAGAATTAGATATGAGATACTTAAATTTCATTTTAACTTAATGGAAGCTCCTTTATTACCTAGAAAACAAGCATTGACTAAACAAAAATTTTAAAGTATCTTTTGTTTTTATTTCATTTTCATTTCTGTACATACCTGTCCCCGCTTCCCATCCCTGTGAGCCAACCCTTGTGTAACAAGATATTTAACACCCCCATTGGTGGGGCTGAGATGGCGTTAAAGACCGCATGAGGCAAAGAATTTGCCAGCTAAGTATTCTAGGAAGTAGAGTCCAGTACCTCAAGAAACAGCATGGTCTTCAGGGCCTAGGAGAGACATCAGGACATTACATTGACTCAAAGAGGTTTTGAACTAGTCTATAACAGGAGTCAGGGGAGATGGATGGACAGATACATGGCAGGGACAGAGAATGGTTTTGAGTATGTCCAGGTTCCACCAGGGAGGCCAGAGTCTTCATCTACTGGAGAGAGGCAGGACAGCATTGACTAGCAGGAGAGGCAAGCCCAGTCATTAGTGCACTTTTCCCTGACCAAGAATTCAAGTGCCTGGGAGAATGTCTTCTTCCTTCCATTTTCTTTTCCCCTTTCTTTTCTCAATCCAAAGCAGGCAGAAGTTTAGATCCAAAGCTCCTAGTTTCCTTTCAGGCCAATTCTTATGTCTCCATAGTACTTTAAATCTGTCTTTCTCTAGTCAAAGGATGGAATAGATATCAATTGTTCTACATATACATCTTTAATTGTATTCACAGTGTGTAAACAGGAAGGACTGATTGTTAGATGATCTAGATCTTAATCAGCTAGGAAGTTTCCTTTATCGTAACATAATATATAACATATCATTTAACGTAGAGCAGAGATGCCGATCTCTGGCTAGTTATTAGAAGATCCCTAATTGGGTGCACAATGAGCTGTTATTGCATTTTATTAACTATACTAATTTATAATTCTATAAACTTCTCTAGACAGACTTTTAAAACTGAATCTAGGGCTATTGCCTGTAGATTACTGAGTCTGATATGTGTTCTGGGTGTGGCTTATTAAATTAAATTAAATCAAATTGAGGTTAACAACCAGAATAAGGTGGGAGGGGGAAGAAGAAAGTGGGTCAGTGAGGCAAACTGTATCTCCTTCACCCCTTCCTTCACCAGAAGGGAGGGGAAGATCAAGAATAAATAGATACAAGAAGGGAAGATTCTGCCTTTGTGGTAGCCAATGATTAAAAATAGTCTAAGTCTGAGAGGATTCCATTCTGCCCTTTTCCCTTGAGGGAGGTGGAGAGAATGAATGAGCTAACCTGGCTCTCCACAGCACCAGGTACTGGTTACCCTTGTAACAAAGAATAGAAAAGGAAGGTTGAAAAAGAAAAGCAGTTTAGCAAATCCAACCAACATATAACCCTAGTATGACAGTGTATGTAAAGATCTCCCCTCTAGCTTTGCAAAGAAGGGAGGGAAGGACATTTTCTCACATCTTTTCTGGAGTTTTACAAAGTGTTAAGCTTCAGGTTTTTGTTCTTTTCCTTTTATATTGTTGTACTTATTGGGGATGGGGCAGCTAGATGACTCAGTGCATAGAGTATTAGACTCAGAGTCAGGAACAGCTGAGTTCAATCTGGCCTCTGACACTTACTAGCTATGTGATCCTGGACAAGTCACTTAACCTCTGTTTGCCCTACTCCAGTGAAGAAGGAAATGGCAAGCCACTCCAGTATTTTTCCCCATGGACAGTATGGTCCACCAGGTCACAAAAAGTAGGACATGACTGAACAACTGAACAATGACAAAAATCACTGTGAATATCGTTTTCATGGTTTGGCTTATTTTGCTCTGTATCAGTTTATATGTCTTCCCATACTTCTCTGAATTCTTCCTATTTGTCATTTCTTATGATTACTTCAATCAGAATTGACTTTCAAAACCATCATGGTAAGCACTTGGGGTGGGGATGAATCTATTTTTCTAATATGTCAGAGGCAACAATGGAATTTTGGTGGCTAGCAAGGGAATGGACTAGTTCTAGGATCAGAAAGAACTGTCATCCTATCTGATGCAGGCATTAGGTGTGGGGCAGACTAACCCACTCAGCTAACCATTTCCATCTCTCTTTTCCAGGGATGGATTTGGTGCCATTGTGTGTAACTTTCTTGCTCTGTTTTTGGGAAGTGCAGTATGGCATCCTGGCTGGGATCCTAGTGTCTGGAATACTCCTACTTTACCATGTGGCCAGACCCCGGATTCAGGTAATGACCCTAACCAAGAAGTAGGATGACTTTCCCTCCTAAGGTTCATTCTCTTCCCTACCTCCCATTGCCTTAGACGTTAATAAGATGGAGGTGTTCCTGTAGGAGGCAATTAAAGTAAGTGTTGCTGGTAGGGAAGACAAGTATTGGTGAAGCCAATCTATGGACATAAAACCTTGTCCTTGTAAGTTTCTGTTACATCTGCATGTCTCCAAAATTATGCTAAAATGGATTATTACTGTTGTCCCTAAGGAAAATAGACAACCTTGAAAGGGATTGTAGATTATCTATATTAATAACATTTGTTTTTAAAAATAATAATAGCTAGAATATGTGTATACATATACATATCTGTATATACACACATATTCTCTGTATATATACATATGTATGTATATACACATTCTGTAACAGTTAAAATTAAGGTAGACTGAGGCGCAAAGTTCTAAGTACAATTTATTAGTAAAGCACATATTTACCAATAAATAGAATTTCAGCTTCCCCAGCAAAGCTAAGACCTCAAATGAAGGTCTTTTATAGCTCTCTTTTATGAACTTTCTTTTATATTTGAGGAGTACAGAAAATAGTAAGGCTAGCACCATAGACGGAAGAAAATATGATTGGATAGAAATTGGGAATGAGGGCTAGAAACAACTCTCTCCTTCCTTCCTGTAACTAAGAAATGTTCATTGTTTGAGTTCAGCTACATTGGCAAGGACAGAGATAGCAAACCAGACTTCTTGAAGGATAGTTTGGTGCTCTAAAGATACTAGACCAGATTCCCTATTGTTCAGCTGCATCCTTTAAGGGTAACAGATTTCCTTGACACAAGAATAGAACAGTGATTAACAGGTGAACTGGATTTCTAAACTTAACTTATTACAGGGTGACCGAATTTCTAAACTAAGTTCATGATTTCATAAATTAAGTTCATAAGTTCTAAATTAAGAATCATGACTTAGGCAGTTAACAGTACAAAATCAATTAACTACAAATAGAATCAATAAAAAGATGCAGAATCAATCTGATCATTTCTTTTTATTTATTTATTTATTTTTTGTTCTCAACATTCACTTCCATAAGATTTTGAGTTCCAAATTTTCTCCCCATCCCTCCCCTCCCCCGCCTTCAAGATGGCGTGTGATTTGATATAGGCTCTCATAGACATTCGTATTAAACCTATTTTCACATTAGTCATGTTGTAAAGAAGAAATTGAACCAGTATGAGGAACCATGAGAAAGAAGAAACAAATAAAAAAAAAAGAGAGAGAGCAAATAATTTGCTTTGATCTGCATTCAGACTCCATAGTTCTTTTTCTGGATGTGGACAGCATTTTTCATCATGAGTCTTTTGGAGTTGTCTTAGATCCTTGCATTGCTAAGAAGAGATAGGTATATCAAAGTTCAATCTGATTATTTCGATTCTATACATCTATTCATACATGTAAGGTCATATATATATGTACATTTATGTGTATGTTATATGTAATACTTATATATAATATATTACATCTATTATATGTATGATGTTTTATACACATACACATAGGTTTGCAAAACACTGTACATGTTGTCTCATCTGATCTTCACAACTGTGTGAAGGGGTTTTATTATTATTCTCATTTTACAGATGAGGAAACTTCAGGATCACACAGCTAACAAGTGTCTAAGCTACTTCTTTTTTTATCTAGTTGATATCTTTTGTTTTTATATTACTTTCATTTCCAAATATATCCCTCCCCACCCCTACATACCCAGGAAGCCATCCCTTCTGACAAAGAACAGAGAGAAAAAGGAGAAATTTAGCAAAATGAACACATCAGTCAATGTCTAACAGTATATGCATTATTCTGTACCTATAGTCTCCCACCTCTGCAAAGAAGAGAAAGAAGTGAATTTTCTCATCTCTTCCTCAGGTCCAAGCTTGGTCATTATTGTCTTCATAGTAGACCAACTACTTATAAGAAAATGTGCTCAGTTTGGTACTATTTTAGCCCCTTGTGGTGGTGACAACTCTTGGTACTGATGGACCCACTACCATAGTGGACAGGGGGAAATACAAAGAAGGGGTTAGACATGGATGGGGGGGGGTTAATGTTAAGCCATGTTGCTTATCTTATCTTCTTCTGTCTCAGAGTTTTCCAAACCAATTTGTCCATGGAACACTGTAAGTCTTGAAATTTGCCACAAGATACCTAAACAATGGTCTTAGAGGCCTGGGATTATAAAACTCTCCTAGGATAAATAGGGTTTGAGGGAGATTTTGGAGCAATATAGGAGAAATTGTTTACTTTCTCCTATACTGAGAAATTGCTGCACATAAATGTTTTAGACCCATACACAATTGTATATTTCATATTTTTTCCATTTTAATGGTTTTTATTTAAGGTATATTTTCAAAATTATATATGGAGATTTCATTACCCATTGTTGAAATGCATTTATACAGCATAGATTCAGTCCCAGATGAACCATTACAGACTATGCTTTCTAAAGCCAGTATTCCATCACTATTTTATGGGCTTCTGAAACCTCAGTTTTAAAATTAAGTGACTCTGTTCCCAGTGTATAGTTGTAGACAAATATTGTGTATACTTGTAGATGTTTTTTTCCCAAAATTAACACAGCAAATCTGAACAGTGACACAGTGAACAGTGACATAAGAGCTGTACTGGGAATAGGCTAGAAAATGGTCATTAACAGATTTAAAAATACAGTAGAACCAATGCAGTTTTCTCTCAAGGAAGGAATAATAAAACCTAGGAATAATCCTTTTGTAGACTTTGGTAATATTTCATTCCCTGTGAAAGCCCTGTTATTTATCTATTTGCTTCTACCTCAGTATTTCCCTTTTAAGAAAGCTAATTTGATATGTTTAATAGTAATGTATATGTAGAGCCTATATCAGATTGCACACCATCTTGGGGAAGGAGAAGAGGAGGGAGGGAGAGAAAATTTGAAACTCAAAAGCTTATAGAGGTGAATGTTGAAAACTAAAAATAAATTAATTAATAAAAAAGAAAGCTAATTTGAAATTCTAATTAGTTCCATATAAAAGTCCTATGTATCAGTGCTATTCATAATAATAGCTAATCGCTTTAAGATTGCAAAGTATTTCACAAATATTATCTCATTTGACCCTCACAACAGCTCTGAGAGGTAAGTGCTATTATTATTATTATTATTCCAATTTTACAGATAAAGAAACTGAGTCACAAAGTCATTAAATGACTTTCCCAAGGTCACACAGCTAATAAGTATATAAAGTAGGATTTGAACACAGGTCTTCCTAACTCCAAGGCTAGCACTCTATCCATTCTGTCACCTACCTGCCTTCTTTTTGTGAGCAGGGGAAGCAAAAGAGGGATGAGGTTTGGATCAGTGATTTCATTGTTTTGAGAAGTGCCTTGTAGCGAAGCTGCCTTCACCAATGTAGGTAAATGACTCATCTAACATATAATGAAAGAGAGTTGCTCAGGGCGTAGAAAGGTGAAGTGACTTACTCATGATTACATGTGTCAAAGGCAGGACTTTATTTAGTCCATTTCCTCCTGACCCTAAGATTGTCCCACTGTATCATACTGCTTCTTTCATGGGAATTCTCATGGTTCCAACTTCAATGTTTTATTTCAGGGAGGGACAATTCTGGAGATGTAAGAAATCTTTTGGAGGGGATAAATAGATGTGTTAGATGTTTTTAAACAGTTAAATTTTGGAAACACTTTTTTGTTTTTATCAGAACTGTGCCCACAAAACAAAAAAGAAACTACAACTTCTTTTGCTCTTAAGGAACTCAGTACTTTCATTTCTTAGACTACCCCATTACACGAACCCCCTTTTTCGCTTATTAAATATATCGACAGATCTTTTTTCAATATTTTCATTTCCAGAGTAACAAGAGACAGAATGCCCTAAAAGTCAGCATAGTTTTAAGCCCTATAAATGAAAATACTGAAAAAGTTCTAGTGTTAAATTTAGCAAGCATAAGCTTTCATAAGCTTACAACTGCCCTAAGACTTTTGGGACACCCTGTGTTTTTTGTCCCTGACTTTCCATGTCTGTGCCATGCATTGCCATGAACAAGCACACCAGGCCAACGGCTCTCAAGAGGCAAAGCTTTGTTGTGATGCAGTAAGAGGACAGTTACTTCATGACTAGAGAAATTCCTTCTTTGTACCACAGAAGAGAATAGCTATAATGCATGAACAGTACACCAAATTGTTTGCACTAGAGATTTTCCAAATTTCTGCTTAGTAGAGATACCCAATGTATTATTACTAAAGCTTCTCATTTTAGTCACTGAGAAAAAAACTCTCCAAACCCATATTCCCAGTTAAAGCCCCCAAACCGTAACCAACTAGTTTCTACCATCCTATTCTCCTCACCCTTTAAAAAAATGACGCATTTAAGGTAGAAACATATAAGAAGCCTTTACTTAAACTCAGACACTGGATTTCTTGAAGTTGCATAGCTCCTTCTCCAAAATTCCCGTTTATAAGTTTGCTTTCATATTCACACTCTGATATACACCCACACATGTACATGCTCACTCAAGTGGGATACTTTTTGTTTATTTATAAATTATGAGGAAAATTATAAATTAATTGTGTACAGATTAATCAGATATTTGCATAATAATGTTTGTATGATAACTCTTCTGGGATTATCTTCCCAACTTGTACTTGAATTCATGAGTTGAGTCCCTAGAGTGTAGCTGCTACTTCTGGCACGAGGGGTAGGAATACTCCATGGGCGGCTACTTCTGCCTCTATAAGTCATGAGCGCTCAACAGTTCCTTATTATTACAAGTAAGCCAGTAGACCCAACTGGTGCTTAGCAAAAGCATTTACTGATAAAGCAAAGTAAAATCAGTAACTAAAAATTGTCCTCCCCAGTTAAACCTTGGCAAATGCTCCCAATAATACACACAAAGTCTATGGGAACAGTGGTCATTAACTTAGAATACAGTAGTAGAGAGGCACACATGTAGGGAACATGTGGTCAAGGCTACCCACTTCTTATACTACCTGGCCCCAAAATCCTCTCTCTCTGTATGCGGTCCTCTCTGTGGGCCAACTGTCAATTGCCAGGGCTAACTCTCTCTTGAATCCATAGCCAGCTCCTTTCACCAATGCCAAAAGTCCCAATCCTAGAAACTTCTTTGAGTGACTACCTCTCCATAGTGGTTTATATCTAGAGCAGCTATTCTTAATATTTTTTGTGACATGGATCCCTTTGGCAGTATAGTGAAGTCTATGGACCCCTAAGAATAATGTTTTAAAATGCATAAAATAAAATACATAGGATTATAAAGGAAACCAATTTTACTGAAATATAGTTATCAAAATGTTTTGTAAAATAAATGCACAGACTCCAGAATAAGAACTGCCATCTTAAGAGAGTTGCTCACATGACTGTCAGAGGCAGGACTTGAATTTAGGTCTTCCTGACCTGGAAAACTATCCTGCTGTTTTCTAGACCACACTGGCTTTCATCCTTATTATACAAGTAAGAAAACTGAGGCAGAGTGAGAAGTGACTTGGCTATGCTCCCACTTGAGTAAGACACAATTCAGTACTGGGACTAAAGAATTTTTGACTGTTAGAGCTGGGCTCAGCACCCTTTACTTTTTTCTTTTCTGATTACTTGTAAAAACAACTTTTAACATTTAAAAGAATTTTTTGAGTTCCAAATTCTCTCCCTCCCTTCCTTACCCTCCTTCCTCATTGAGAAGGCAAAAGTTTGATATAGGTTATATATGTTCAGTCATGTAAAACATATTTTCATATTAGTCATGTTGTGAAAGAAAACATAGAACCACCCTCCAAAAAATGAGGAAAAAAAGTAAAAAATAGTATGTTTCAATTTGTTTTCAGACTCTATCAGTTCTTTCTCTGGAGGTGGCTAGCATTTTTCATCATGGGTCTTTTGGAATTGTCTCGAATCATTGTCTTAATCAGAGTTGCTAAGTCTTTCACAGATAATCATCCTTACAGTATTGCTATTACTGTGTACAATGTTCTTCTGGTTCTCCTCACTTCACTTTGCATGAGTTGATACAAGTCTTCCCAGGTTTTTCTGAGAGAGCCCTGCTCATCATTTCTTATAGCACAATAATATTCCATCACAATCATATACCACAATTTATTCAGCTGTTTCCCAATTAATGGACATCCCCTCAATTTCCAGTTCTTTGCCTCTACTAAAAGAATTGCTATAAATATTTTTGTACATATAGGTCCTTTTTCTTTTCCTTTTTTAAAAAAATCTCTTTGGGACATAGACCTAGTCCAGCACCCTTTTCCTAAAACAACAATAGATATGAAGCCCATGTCTACTCCATTACTCTCCACAGAAACAAAACTGTGTAGATGGTCAGTTGGTTTGAGTTTTCCAACTTAAGTTTTTATCTAGAGTCATTTCTTCTACCTTCCTCTCAAATACCCTTTCAGTGAGTGAAAAACGGATATAAGGATTATTAGATGAATATTAATTTTTTTTGTGTTTGTAGCTTTATAGGTACTCTCAGGCTATGCGTTGACTGTGTCTAAAGGGAGCTGTCTTTTGATAAGATACTAACCTCAGAGATCAAGTGGAATTTGCACTTTTCTATTTGGGGAGGAAATAGTAGTTGTCTGAGCCCCTGGATACTCTTCTTAGATGCCTGGCTGCCTCCAGATTGTGCCAGGATCAAGGGTTTGAAAAGATTGTTTCATCCAACTGGCTTAATGAACATGGATGAATGAACAATAACCCTTGGTCCAGGAGGCCCTTAAGAATGTGATGTTTACTTTGGGAGAGTCTGTGGAAGAGAGGAGCAGAAAGGACTGAGCTTTGGAGAGTGGTCCCTGTTAGGAGAAAGGAGGAGGAAACAGGTCTCCAGAGAAAGGAGACACTGAAAGGGTAGACAGAGGGTGGGGTCCCTATCACTTCCTGGATCAAATATAAAAGCCTCTGTTTGGTGTTCAGTGCTCTTAATAAAAAAAAAAGAAAGAAAGACAGAAAAGAAAAGAAAAAAAAAAAGAAAAGCTTCATAACCTCCTATCTTTCCAGTCTTTTTACATTTGATCTCTTCCACATGCTCTTCAATCCAGTGACACTGGCCACCTTGCTGTTCCTTGAATTAGACACTACATCTAGTGTCTAGAAAAAAAATCTCAGCATTTTTATTGGTTGTCTTCCACGCCTGAAAATCTCTCTTCTTATCTCTGCCTCCTAACTTCCCTAGCTTCAAATCTCAGCTAAATACTACCTTCTGCAAGTTTTTTTTTTGATCCCCCTTAATGCTAGTGTCTTCCCTCTGAGATTATCTCCAACTTATCTTGTATATATCTGATTTGTACACAGTTATTTGCATGTTATTTCCCCTTCCCCCATTAGATTGTGAGCTCCTTGAGGGAAAGGACTATTTTTGCTTTTCTTAGTATTCTCAGTGCTTAGCACAGTACCAGACACGTAGTAGAGACATTGTAAATATTTGTTACTTTAGCTTGACTCCCTGAAAAACATGATTAAGAAAAAAAAAATTCTGGACATCATATTCAAGAAATCATACATGAGAACTTCTCAGATCCATTAGAACTAGAGGGCAAAGTGAAGATAGAAAGAATCAACCAATAACCTCCTGAAAGAAACCCCAAAAGGAAAAGTTCCAGGAATGTCATAGACAATATCCAGATCCCCCATATCAAATTAAAAATACTGCAAGCATCCAGAAATATTTCAGATACTAAGAAACTACAGTCAGGATCACATAAAACCTGGCAACTTTTACTACAAAGAAAAAATTTTGGAATACAACATTCCAAGAGACAAAAGAGATAGGCTTACAACTAAGAGTAATTTACCCTGCAAAGTTGAATATAATCCTGCAGTGAAAAAAAAAAAGAAATTGATCTTTGATGGAAGAGGACGTTTTAAAAATAATATTTATTTTTTCACCCGATTATATATTAAAATAATTTTTAATATTTTTTAAGTTTTAAGTTCCAAATTCTATCCCTCCCTACCTTCTCCCCTCCCCCCTCCCTGAGATGGTAAGCAATCTGATATATGTTATACATGTGCAAAAATGTAAAACACCTCCATATTAGTCATTTTATACAAAAAGACTCAAAACACAAAGGAAGGAAGGAAGGAAGGAAGAGAGCAAGGAAGAAGGAAAGAAAGAAAAGGAAAGAAAGAAAGAAGGAAAGAAAGAAAGAAGAAGAAAAGAGGGAGGGAGAGAGAGAGAGAGAGTATCAGTTCTTTCTCTGGACGGGCATAGAATTTTTCCTTTGGAATTGTCTTAGATCACTGTATATACTATGTATCATATACACATATAATATATACACTTATATGCACATATAAAATATATACACAAACAAAATATATACATATGTATACTATATACTATATATTATGTATACAAATATATACTATAAACATATACTATATATATATATAAACATGCACATACTATATATACACATATATACTATACATATATATGCATACATGCATACATACATTATGTATTTATGCACACACACTATTGTTATTATGGTTCTGTGATGGGGTGAGCATACTTGGTGTGCTCATCAGAGCCCAAGGCAAGAACAGAAAGAACCTAGGCCTCTTATCTTCCCCCATCCCCTCACCCCTTGATCTCTCTTCTCCTGTCCACCCGCAGGTATCAAAAGGCCCCGTGCTTATCCTGCAGCCCATCAGTGGCCTTCACTTTCCAGCAGTTGAAGCTCTTCGGGAGACTATATATAGCCAGGCTCTCTCAGGTAAGGCTCTAGAGACTGTGGGTTGGCGTGGGGAGTGGAACCAGTTCCCTATATTCCTGTTGCTTCCTTCCATCTATCTCCTTTCCTCCTTCAAGGAGGCTATATGCTAGAACCCTGAGAATCTAGGCAACTAATTTCTCTTCAGGTAAGTTCATCTGGGTCTGTGATGTAGAAATTTCTACTGTATACCAAAGTATACATACTTACCTTACCTCCATGTGTGCATTTTTACTGCAAAGGCTCCACTAGTGGTTCCCAAGTGGTTTCATTCCATTTTATCGACTTTCTAGATTTTTTTTGTGGGGGAGGGCTAGACAATGGGGTTAAGTGACTTGCCCAGGGTCATGTAACTAGTAAGTGTTATGTGTCTGAGTCCGGATTTGAACTCAAGTCCTCCTGACTCCAGGGCCGGTGCTCTATCCACTGCGCCACCTAGCTGCCCCCACTTTCTAGATGTTTGCCAACTATCTCTTTAAAGATCTTTTCTAGAACCTTCCCAGGAATTGAAACCAGGCTTACTAGCTTGTGGTTTGCAAACACTGTTCTCTTCCCTTATTTAAAAATTGGAACATTTGCCCTTCTCTAATCTGTCACACTTCTTCCATTTTTTGTGATCTTTCAAATATCACTACTCAGTAAACATATCTGCCAGTTCTTTCAATACTGGTAGGGGTAGTTCATCAGGGTCAAATGACTTGAATTCCTCCAAGGCAGCAGCCAGGTGCTACTTAGCACCTTAGGGAGGGATTGGTTAGGCATTCCTGAGGCTTAGAAAATGTTTGTTGAATGAATGAACAAATGAATGAATACTAACCAAAACTCTTTCTTGATTGTTTCCTCCAGCATCACCCCCATGTTGCACCATCTTGGACTGTACCCATGTCAGCAACATTGATTATACAGTGGTGACAGGACTTGGGGAATTGCTAGAAGAGTTTGGAAATCATGGGGCCTCCTTAGTTTTTGCCAAGTTACAGGTATGTTTTTCTTGGGGAGGCCAGGGACCATCCCACAGAGGGGATTGGGGCTATGTGTACAACATAATCAGTAGTCAGCAATCTTAAAAAAAAATTCATGATAAACTGACTGACTGCTCACAAAACAAACAATGATATATTAATAATTATTAAATATTTAATTAACATTCATGAAATAAGGAATATAATTTTACATAAAACTGGGCGTTTAACAAGATTTGTTGTTCAGTCATGTCCAACTCTTCGTGACTCCATTTGGGGTTTTCTTGGTAAAGATACTGAAGTGGTTTGCCATTTCCTTCTCTGGCTCATTTTACAGATGAGTAAACTGAGGCAGCCAATGTTAAATGACTTGCCAAGTTCACTTAGCTGGTAAGTGAGATTTGAACTCACAAAGATGAATCTTTCTGATTCCAAACCCAATGCTCTATCCACTGTACCACCTAGCTGCTTTTGAACAAGGTAAAAATGAATGAGTTGAAGAAGTCTGATGGAAAGATTTCTGGATTTGAGAGTCAGAAGATGTGGGCTCAGATTTCAGCTCTGTTGCTTGTTATCTGTGTGACCTTGGGCAAGTCACTTAACTTCTCATAGGTAAAAATGGTGGAGAGAGGATGCAAGGGATTGCGCTAGGTGACCTCTAAGATCTTTTCTAGCTTTAGGTCCTGATCCATGAACAACAAATTGTTAACAAAATATATTTGCTCTATGTCTCCTTCTAGTTCTGTTTGACTTTCATTGCCTCTGACTTTCTTTCCTTTCAGTGTAGTCAGTGTGTGTGGACTTTAGGTTCTGCTGATCTCACTTTTCATTACTTCATATGGATCTTAATGTATTGCCTTGAGTACTTCAAAGTTAACCTTTTTATGTTACCCTAATATTTAATTACATTCATATTAAAAATAATAAATTGACTTTTTCAGCCATTCTCCAACTTTTTGGCCATAAAAGTTACTTACAATTTTTTTTAGAGGCAGCTAGGTGGGTAAGAATTCTGGACTTAGAGTAAGGAAGACCTGAGTTCAAATCCTGTCTCAGACACTTAATAGTTGTATGATTCTGGGCAAGTCATTTAACCTCCGTTTGCCTCAATTTCCTCATATGTGAAATGGGGATGATAATAACTCCTACCTCTCAGAGTTGTTGGGAGCATTAAATAATATAATATGACATAAGTGCTTTGCAAAACTAAAATGCTTATTTTGTTGTATTACAAATATGGCACCTATAAATAAGATCGATTATAGGATTGTAGAAGTAGAATTGAAAGATTTCTTAGATGGGATGTAGCTCATTTCTTCATTTTGCAAATAAAGAAACATTGTTTGGGGGCAGCTAGGTGGCACAATGGATAGAGTATCGGCCCTGAAGTCAGGAGGACCTGAGTTCAAATCCCCCCTCAGACCAAACACTTGACTCTTATTGGTTATGTGATCCTGGGCAAGTCGCTTAACCCCAATTGCCTAAAAATTAAAAAAAAAAATTAAAAAAAAAAGAAATATTGTTTGTACAGGTACAATTCAACAGACCTTTATTTAGCATCTATATCAAGGAAAGTACTGGAATAAAAAGACAAAACTGACATGGTCCACGTTTTCAGCTCCAGTGCCTCCCTATTACCTCTAGGATCAAATATAAAATCCTTGTTTGGAGTTGCTGAAGCTACTTTCTTTATGGCCCCTGCACTTGAGACAATGCCTAGCACATAGTAGGATTTAATAAATGCTTCTTTCTTGCTTGCTTTTTTCTGCTGTGGATAGGGAGAATACTACCTGTACATGGATAAGTAAGAATTTTAGTAGGGCTAAAGAGTACTAAGATCTTGGAGGGTTGATGGTCAGAAAAGGCTCCATTGGGAGGTAAGGCTTGAAAAAAGCTAGAGAGGTCACAGAACTAAGAAATGTCAGACACAGAATTTTAATCCAGGTCTTCCTGGACCTAAATCCAGTACTTTTGCCATGCTACCTCACTACCTTTTAGAAGTAGTAGTTAAATCAAGCTCTCTGCCTTACATTATGGATGAAAGAATTAACTACATTCCTCAACTACTGGCCTTCATCTCTTCCTTAGGCTCCTGTTCTTTCTGACCTTCTGTCTGCTGACCTGAAAGGATTCCAACATTTCTCCACCCTTGAAGAAGCAGGTTGGTGTGATTCAGCTGAATACCACATCAATGTACTGGCTCTCTCCTCCATTTTCAAAGCAGGCAGAATAAATTAAAATAGGTGTACACTACATTGGGGCAGATTGAAATTAGACAATAAAATGGATTACAGAGTAGCAGAATGAATTGCTGTGGGAGGGCTTAAAATCTCCTACTCCAAGGTTTTTTAATGTAAAATGTATACATGCCTTTGTAAGATGTGTAAATCCACACGAGATGTCTAAATGTATAAGTAAGTAGTTTGAGGGGAGGCATTGATAGATATCTCTGTAATCTTGTCTTCTGTTCTCCAAGAGAGACTGTGATTCCAGGCCATGAATCTGGCTGCTCAGTTTCCCTTGGAGAGAGGGAAGTAGACTAGAATTATATCCACATGAGCCCCCCTAAATATTGATGACGTAGGGGCATAATTGGTTCAGAACAAATCCACTAGAGTCCCTGGTTGCTTTCCTTAAGTAGGTGGGGAGGGTAGCCCTTACCTTACACTCACCAGTTCAACTTCTTCCTACCAATTGCTGGTCATGGAGGTCTAGTAGCTTTTTTTCTGAACCAATTGTGCCCCTAGATCTTGGAGGCCCCTCAGTGCCTGGCAAAGGAGTTTGAACTGTCAAAGCATGAAGACCCCAAGAGAGCCATCTTATCTAATTCTGTTCCTTGACCTTCCTCTATTCTCCCCAAATCCCTGTAATCTTGTCTTCCTTTCAGAGAAATACCTGAGTGAAGAGTGAAGTTTCTAGCCCTATAATGTCAATGAAGACTCCACCAGAATCCAGGATTGTCCCACTAATGCCAACCAATTGGCCTTATTCTGTGGCACGAGATGATGAAAAGACCTTTCTATCAGCATACGCCATTGATCTGTGGACTTCTCTTGTAATGCATCTTTTGGACTGGTGTACTCAAAGAAAACCCCAGTAGGTGGCACTATGGAGAAATGATGGAAGAAAGACCTATTCATCTTAAAATGGACTTGGACCTTTGGGGAGCAACAGTTGAGCATCTGGGTAGGAAGAGTGATAACTTCTAATTGAAAATGGTTCTTGTTCCTCTTCTCACCTCCTTGACCCACTCCTTTTACCACTCGTCCATATTTAGACTTACCTATTCCAAACAGTAAGAGAGCTTCCTAACAAATCTCAAGTAATACATGGGCCTTCCCTTGAGCTTTGCCCTCAGAATTGAGTCATGTAGATACAAAGAGATCCTTTAACCTGGGGCTTTGGTTGGGTTGTGGACTTTGGAAGCTGTATTGAGAAGGGAAGGAGCATGGCAGTGAAGGCAGGAGGAGACTGTATTGGGGATGACTCCCTGAGTCTATTATTCTAGCATTAGAGGGAGGATAATGACTCTCCTTGATAATAAAATTAGAACTGGAAAGGACCTAAGCAAATGTCTTAGCCCATCCCTCTCACTTTACAGGTGAGGAAAGTGAAGACCAGGAAAGTTAAGGAGTGACCCATCCAGTTGACCTTGGATAGTAAATATCAGAGCTGGGATTAGAACCCAGATCATGGCACAATGGATAGAGTACAGGGCCTGAAATCAGAAAGACTAATCTTCCTGAATTCAAATCTGGCCTCAGATACTTCTAGCTGTGTGACCCTGGGCAAGTCACTTAATTGTGTCTGCAACAGTTTCCTCATCTGTAAAATGAGTTGGAGAAGGAAATGGCAAACCACTCCAGTATCTCTACCAAGAAGATACCAAATGAGGTCATGGAGAGTCAGACATGACTGAAAAGACTAAATAATAACAATAACAACCTCTTACTCAAAACCCAGTGCTCCTACAATTGTACCATGCAGCCTTCCATAATTAACTGCTATGAAAATGTGAAGCTTTTCTTTTTCTTTCCTTTTGCCTTCTGTTAGGGGTAGGCCTGACTTAGGCCAGCATGCTACTAGTTTAAGTTCAGTAAGTCATTGCACAGTTAACAAAAAGAGGTTTACTTAGCCCTAACATAGAAATGATGTTCAACAAGGATAATGTAGCACTTTGTACTGCTAAATGTGTAAAAGTGACTTCCCTTCTCCCCATCTCTTTATGGTCAGCTGGTCAGAGTGTGATGGCTCCTGCAAACTTTAGATATCTAACAACTCTGAAAGGCCCTCACCCTTCTTGGGTGAGCTGTTTTGTGCCTTTAGGCGACCAGGAAAATACATTGATACAGCCAGCGGTTACCAGGAAGTTGCTCAAGGGAGGCACAGCTTGCATTTTGCCCTAACCCAAGTCCTGGCTTTGGGCTCTTTTATGGAAAAGCTGGCCTAACCATATTGGGGAATAAGGAACCCTTGTAGACACTGGTCCTTTGGACTGATGCACCTTCTGTCTTACTATATCCCACTGTCAAGGGCTGTTTCCAAGCTCCCCCTTCACCCCCCAGCCCCACTTCCCACTCACAGGTTTGGGTATTCCATTCTCACCAGCAAACTGCTGCTGTTTCTTATCCCCCTACTTCCTCATCCTGTCCTGGCAGAAGGAATCTCTGCTGTGGAGAAACAGCAGGTGACACAGTGGGTAAGAGCCCTGGACCAGAATTCAGGAAGACTTAGGTTCAAATCTAGCTTCAGACACTAACTGTGACTCTAGGCAAGTCACTTAACCTCTACCTCAATTTTCTTATCTGTAAAAGGGGATAATAATAGCTGCTTCTATCTCCCGGGGTTGTTGTGAGGAAAAAATGAGATAATATTTGTAAAGTACTTATGTAAATGCTAGCTATTATTATTCTATGGTGCTTGGTTGAAGGATTTAATCCAATTGCCTTCTTTACCCTGATGAAAGTACTTAGATTGGGGAAGCCACAGCAATGAGGAAAGCCCTAAAATATCAGGGGTGGAAAACCTGCAGCCTTGAGGCCACGTGTGGCCCTTTGACTGAATCTAAACTTCACAGACCAAATCCCCTTAATAAAAGGATTTGTTCTGTAAAACTTGAACTGGTCAGAAGTCCACACCCAAGGACCTATGGCCTCCAGGCCACAGGTTCCCCACCCCTGTAGACTAGATTATTAAAGCCTAATAATAGTACTCAGGGGAGAAATCACCACTATGAGGATCTAAAGTCATAATGTGAACATGAAGAGGGGGGAGGGGAAAGTTGAGCTGCTGAATTCTCATTTCCTGCCCAAGAGGGACAAATACCCTATTATTATAACAAACTTTCCCTCCTTCCTTATACAATGGAGTCATTAGGAGAAAAGACTTTATTAGGAAGAGAAAATAGTGGAACACACTTTCCTTCTTCTAAGCCAGTTCCTCACATTTCTTCCCTTTTCCTATCTTCCCAGTTACTGTAAGGCTTTGGGGTGGATGAGTAGGATGGGAATCTGCTGCCTGGCTCCCTGCTCACAGGCCCCTGTATATGTTTGATAGATTTCAAACCTCTTGGAACAATAAAGATTCCCCCCCCCCCCTTCCCCCTTGTTTTCTTGCAAAGTGTTGGGTGGTGGTGGGTGGTTTGAGGGCAGGATTTCACAGATTATGAAACTCATGTTGCTTGGCCCCAGCAATGAAAGTGAAAGCAAAGCTTAAAGGGAAATTTCATGCCATTAAAGGTGTCAACCATTTTACCAAAAGTTTGGTCCAAAGAAATAAACAGAATCAGTTTTCCCCTTAACCAAAGGTTTGTCCTAAGAACAAACAGAATGGGGCTCCCCCTTATTGAAGGTTTGTTCAAGAATAAACAGAATGGAGTTCATTTTACCAAAGGTTTGAACAAGGAACAAATAGAATCAGGTTGTACATGTGCTATAAAGTCCTTATTTGTTCTCATTAAGTCAGAGAATCATGTATGATGGAGTAAGAAAATAATTCTGAACTCAAGAGGTAAACAAGCTGAAAGAGATCTTTTGTACACTTAGAGCAATTCCAACTCAGGATGCCTGTCAACCAAAATTATAGTCTTCATATGTGTCAACCATAATATGAGAAAAGAATTTCTTAATAGGATAGGTTGTAAATACAACAAGATAACAGAATTGTCAAGGTGTCGATTGAGTTATAGATCCAGGATGTGTGTTTCTAAGAAAAGTCCCATTATTCAAAGATAGCATCCAGTTCAAGAAGCCTTGTCCTGGACAGTCATAAATAGAAGAATACTCCTGATCAGCTTCATCTGGCCTTGTAATTGCTGACACAGGAAGGGGAATTTTGGGTTCACTCAGAGAGCAAAGCAAAGCTTGTCTGTTATGCCAGAGCAAAGAAGGCATTACGGTAGGTTAAGCTCAGAGTGGGCCAAAAATGTCTTTCTCCTGAATAGCCAGTCCAGGTTTTAGGCCTTTCTTAGGTGATGGGGCGCTCAAAATGGTTCACAAAGGCAACAATCATGTATTACCTGCTTTATTTAAGATTCTTAGGGGAGAAAAGGAAGATGCTTCTTTCATAGACTACTAACTGTCCAACAGGAAGGAATGTGGTAGGAACCTAATTGGATCCATTTCTCCCTTTACAGGATTCTGCTGTAGATATTGGATATATGGGTGTCAAAGTCAGATAAACCTATGAAATTATTGATTCCACTCCCTTCTCCTTCCTGTCCAGCTTTGTTTCAGTAGCTGGAGATTTGATAATAAAACCACAGAATGTTAGAATTGGAGGACTCAGGGATCACTGGAAAGGTGAGGAAGATGAGGCCTAGAACATCCCACTGAATGATTGTGCCAACTCAAGAAGAAGCTGCCAGGTTGGGATCTCAACATTTCTAAGGCTTGGCATTCCTGTATTTCTGAACCCTGTGTCTCAGGCTCCATCTCAGCACCTGGTCCCTCATCTCTAATATCAGTTTCCCCTATGTCCAGAGACAGGCATGATGAGATAGTGGAAAAAGCACCAGAATCTCAGAGTGGAAAGAAATCTCAGGGTTTATCTGATCTAACCTTTACCTGAAGAAGAATCCGTCCTAGGACATACCTGACAACTAGCCATCCAGTCTCTGCTTAAATCTATTTCCTCCAAAGGCAGCTCAGGACACTTTGGGGACAGCTCTAATTGTGAGGAAGTTATTCAAATATCAAACCTAAATTTACCTCTTTGCAATTCCTGCCCATTGCTCCTAGTTCTGCCCTTTGTAACCAAGCAAGAAAGTCTAATTCTTTCTTCCTATCACAGCCTTTCAAATATTGGAAGATTTTTATCCCCCCACCCCAACTCGGAAGTCCTCTCTTCTCCAGGATAAAAGTCTCTACTTCCTTCCAAACAAATCTGCATTCAATGTGATCTTGAGGCCTCTCACCATTCTGTACACTGTCCTCTAGGCACAGCCCAGTCTTTCCTAAAATGTGGCTTTCACGACTAAACATAATACTGTAGTAGATATGGTCTTACCAGGGCAGAGCACAGAAGGACTGTTATTTCTCTAGACCTGGACACTATGCCTTCTTACTTGTTGCTGATGGTTTGTTGTTCCAGGCATGAATTTATGAGAAAACTTTAACAAAAGCTTTGTCCTAAGAAGTAGTTTTGCATTTCTACCATTGTCACCCTTTCCTTTCCCCTTACATTCTAAATGTTAGTTTCAGTGATTGAAACTCAGTGAGCATTTCCTCTTAATTTTAGAACAGCAACAACAAGAAAATCCCTAACCCAAAGCTGTGTTGTTGTTTTTTTAATTCAGGAAGGAAAGATATTAGTTATGTCACTAATGATAAAATCTACACCTGCATAATTTTTTTTTTTTTATAAAAGAAAACCATCCACCTTTTAAAATGTGATTTGGCTGCTCTTTGCCCTTTGTTCTTGAAGAGGACCATGACATCAGGGAGGATAATGCCATGACATGCAAGTGAAGTGGATTTAAGTGAGGGAGGGCTGTGCAAGGTCACCAGATTCACCTTCTCCTCCGGAGCCATCTGGGTCCAGTGGCCAGACATGGATCAGGACAACTGGAGATGGCCCAGAATGTGATTTGGTAATTCTCGTGTGTATTCTACAAGGGAAAGATATAACATGTTATAAAAGATGTAACAAGGCTTTAGCATATATCTAAATCACCTAAGATGGAGGTACCTATGTGAGAGATGGCAAGAACCTGCTTCTGGGAGAACACATCCTGCATTTACCCACCACATGGATGGGAGTAGCCTTTTTCAAAACTACTAGATGGGGACGGTCACTCTCTGTCTCTGTCCTTCTGTCTCTCTCTCAGCAGTGATAGATCCTATTCAAATACAGGATGGGTACCATGAACTAAGCTAGGTTGAGGGAAGGGCTAGTCTCCCCACTCCCCAGACCCCATAATGCCCCAAATCAGGCTTGGGGTATTGGTCTGTTTTGTTTGTCCTTTTTTTAGTTATAGGTGCAGGTAGTGGAGTCCCCAGACCCAGGAGTTCAAGCCAAGATGATCTTGGATTCCAGGATTCTTGGACTCCATGAGGCAAGATTCCAGGCTGAACATCACAACTAGTGCAAGGGAGCACCAGGAAGTCAGGGTGTCAAGGCACAAGCTCAGCAGGGCTTTGGACTTGGAATTTGGTAGGACCATGCTATAGAGATATTGAGTTAAGCTGTCAACCTAATCACCCTCCCCTTCCCAGAAAATGAAATCA